CACGGGTACTGTCTTCACTGAGCTCAATGATGAGAAGGTGCTACAGGTGAGTGTGGCCCTGCCTTCCTGCCAGTGTGGGCACCAGAGGGCACTTGCCCAGATCATGCTGGGCACTGGGTGTTGTTATCTCCAGCCCTCCCCCCAACACACACACACACACACCCATTTTACAGATGACATGGAGGCCCACCGATGGGTATTAAGGCCAAACTGGATTAGTGCCTCTAGTAGGCAGTGTACCCTTACTCCCCTGGAGATGTTCCCCTCCATCTTTGCAGAGGGGTGCATCCCTCCCCCAAGTCCGACTTCTCTTTCCAGCTTTCAGACTCCCCCTCCCACCATCTCCAAGACAAGCAGGGCTCCAGCCCTTATAATGCCACATTCAGTTTTCTGGAAGGGATGTGTGTTCTCGTCCCCAGGCCATTGCTCATGCTGCTCGCTCAGCCTGGAATGTGCTTCCCTTTCCCCTTTCATTCCTGGCCAAGTCAGTTCTTCCTTCAGCTGTAGCAGCTTGGAGTCTGGGTCCCCTGGGGTGGGCGCTGTTGCTGCTTCTCAGTGTTCCCCATTTCCCTTGGATCCCCCATCAGGGCCCGTGGTCAAGCTGCTGATGGGTTTGTTTCTCTGTGGGTGGCCTGTTCAGGGCTGGGTGGGTGGCTCTAGCACCTAGCACAATACTCAGGAAGGTACCAGCCCCTGGCCCCACCCAGCCCCACCTCCTCTCCCCGTGCCTTCAGGAGCTGGACATGAGTGACTTTGAGGAGCAATTCAAGACTAAGTCCCAAGGTCCCAGTCTGGACCTCAACGCTCTCAAGGGTAAGGCAGCCCAGAAGGCCCCCAGCAAGGCCACCCTCATTGAGGCCAACCGGGCCAAAAATCTGGCCATCACCCTGCGCAAGGGCAACCTAGGGGCCGACCGCATCTGCCAAGCTATTGAGACGTGAGTACCTCTGACATGGGCTTGTGGGCAGCCTAGCTCTCTTCTAGGTCAGGGTCATCAGGCAGATCCTAGTAAAAGTGCCAACAATAGGACAGAACCCATCAAGCTTCATACCAACCCTGGTCAGGGAATTTTTAGGCCAAGAAAACTGTATCCATACTGTGTGTCCATGCTGGGGGAGAGATGTTTCCATTCCCTTCCTGCCTCCTCACCCAGCTATGGGCACTCAGGTCCAGATATTTGCAGCTGGGCATCTGCCAGTGATATATGACAGGAACCTCAGGCTGCCTGGCTCGCAGCTTCTCTCAACTCCTATCTCTTGTTCCCTGAAGCTGTTGGCAAATAATAAATTCTGAAGTTTATTTATTCAGTCAAGGAAAGGGGTAGTTCTGCTCTTCAGAAATAGTGGTTCTGAGGTGATACCACCCCTCCCTCCCGCCAGGTTTGACCTGCAGGCCCTTGGCCTGGACTTCCTGGAGCTGCTGACCCGCTTCCTGCCCACGGAGTATGAACGCAGTCTCATCACCCGCTTTGAGCGGGAGCAGCGGCCGATGGAGGAGCTGTCGGAGGAGGACCTGTTCATGCTGCGCTTCAGCCGCATCCAACGCCTGCCAGAGCGCATGACCACGCTTACCTTCCTGGGCAACTTCCCGGATACTGCCCAGCTGCTCATGCCGGTGTGGGCGGGGCAGGAAGGGCAGTGTGGGCGGGGCAGGCAGGGCCTGGGTTGAGGATGGGGAGGCAGCTTGCTGTCTGAGCGCCAAGAGGGCATCTGGGAGTACTTGAGGCTCCAATGGGCTTGCCCCCACTCCCCCCTCAATTTACCTGCCTCCCCAATCCCGTCCCCAGCAACTGAATGCCATCATTGCAGCTTCAATGTCCATCAAGGCCTCTGACAAACTCCGCCAGATCCTGGAGGTGAGATGCCAGGGCAAGGGTCTGGGAGGCAGGGCCTACCCATGACTCCTTGCCTGTTCTGGGTCGTGTGAGAGGGAGACGGCCCTGTCCTGCACTCCTAGGATGCAACAAATATGTTTCCATCTCTCACACAGACACCCAGAAAGACAAAACTAAGCTGGTGGGTGGGGACCATGTCAACAGTAGCATACCTCAGACCCTGCCTGAGGGCTCAGCTTCTTCCGGGTGGGAGAGGGGACCCGTACTGGCTTATTGGAGTTACGGAGAACCAGATGAAAAGACTGTTAGAAAGGCAGAGACCTCACAGCTTAGGAGGGGATGTTGGCAGCACAGTCTTGGGTAGGAATAGCAGAGGACGAAATGGGGTATGCTATGTTATTAGCCATGCACGTGTGTCAAACACGAACACATGCATATACGTGTGTCATGGACCTGAGGGGTCCAGGCAGGAGTGCAGTGTGGGCTGAGTGTGTGGGGCTTGCATTTTGCCATCTTTTCTTATACAATTTATACTTCAGGAGTTTCCTCAGTCCCAGCTCTCCTGCTAACTCTCTTCCCTGCCTCTCCCAGATCGTGCTGGCCTTTGGCAACTACATGAACAGCAGCAAGCGTGGAGCAGCCTATGGTTTCCGGCTTCAAAGTCTGGATGCGGTGAGGGGGGCAAAGAAGGATCCCCTAGCCTGGGGGTTGGTGGACAGCTGGTGGCCTGTGGCTTACAACAGGTCCTCTTGCAGCTGCTGGAGATGAAGTCGACTGACCGCAAGCAGACGCTGCTTCACTACTTGGTGAAGGTCATTGCTGAGAAGTACCCACAGCTCACAGGCTTCCACAGCGACCTGCACTTCTTGGACAAGGCGGGCTCTGGTATGGATAGGGGTATCCCATCCTTGGGTTGGGGAAGAGGCTCAGCCCTGGGGACTGATGTGGGCTGGGAGAAAGTGGGGGAACTGCAGGATGTAACTGGACAGGAATGCTGCTTCTCTGATTTGCTGCCACTATACTGCCCCATCCCCCACTCAGTGTCCCTGGACAGCGTCCTGGGGGATGTGCGCTCCCTGCAGCGAGGCCTGGAGTTGACCCAGAGGGAGTTTGTGCGGCAGGATGACTGCATGGTGCTCAAGGAGTTCCTGAGAGCCAATTCGCCCATCATGGATAAACTGCTGGCAGACAGCAAGACAGCTCAGGTGGGCTGGGGCTGGTCCAGTTCTGGAGGTGGGGAGGCTGGGGTGGGGATGAAGGAAGGGTGTGGCTATAGCAGCAACACACTGAGGGATGGAGCAGGAGGGCCCACCTGCCTGGAGGAGCAGAGACAAGGTGGCCAGTGTCTTAAGGGGGTACAGAGAACTGGTCAGGATCTGAAGGGTCCCTGCTGCTGGGCTGATAGGCTGTGTGCCCCCAGGAGGCCTATGAGTCTGTGGTGGAGTACTTCGGTGAGAACCCCAAGACCACGTCCCCTTCCATGTTCTTCTCCCTTTTTAGCCGTTTCATCAAGGCCTATAAGGTATGTGTGTCTGGTGTGTGGGCTGGGACCCCTGCAGGGCACTGCAGCCTCCCAACTTGGGTTCTGGGAGGGCTGGGGGATGCTTCTGTCTGGGGTGGTTTAGAGAGCCCCTCATGGAGACCCATTCTGGCTCCTCAGAAAGCTGAGCAGGAGGTGGAACAGTGGAAGAAAGAAGCAGCAGCCCAGGAGGCAGGCACAGGCACCCCAGGAAAAGGGGAGCCCCCAGCATCCAAGGTAGGCAGCTGCCACTGAGTTTGGGACTTGGTTGCAGGGCTGCTTGGTACCCTCACTGCAGAGATCTGTTCTTTCTCCACACCCTCCAGCCCCTGCCCAAGATGAGGATGGGGCCCCAGCAGCCTGGGATGGGAATGGGTTCCTTTTGCTCAAGCCAGCTGTGGGGGACCAGGCAGAAGTTCTAGGGTTTAGTGGCATGGGAAGAGGGGAGCCTGGAGCCGGAGCTATATACCTACCACCTCCATTCTCCAGTCGCCACCCAAGGTCCGGCGGCAACAGATGGACCTCATCTCTGAGCTGAAACGGAAGCAGCAGAAGGAGCCTCTCATCTATGAGAGTGATCGTGATGGGGCCATTGAAGATATCATCACAGGTGAGGGTTTGGCTGCGTCTGTTGGTCCTCCGTCTGTCCTTCTATGCTGTCTTCCACCCCACCTCCACCCCCACCCTAGGGGTCTGGCTGCCTCACTTGCCTTTTGCTACTTTTTCTTTTTTCCTTTTTCCTTTCTCTCCACCCTCTTCCCTCCTAACCCTCAGTGCTCAAGACGGTTCCCTTCACTGCCCGCACTGGCAAGCGGACGTCCAGGCTCCTCTGTGAGGCCAGCCTGGGAGAGGAGATCCCCCTCTAGTCCCCCAGGTACCTGGATGGCCTGGCTTCTGATCCCAGTGGCTGCCCACAGCCCTAGGGGCCCTTGGGGAACTGGTCATGCTGCCCTTCCCTTGGCCATGCATGACTGAGATGTGTTTGAGGGGGGTCTGGTAAACATAAACTGACTCCCTTCCAATGCACACAACCTGGGTCCCTAGAAAGTGAGGCCTATGTCCTGGAGTGGTGATCCCAGCGCTGGGCAGACTCTTGAAAGGTAAATGTCTCTCCTCTCTGCTGCCAGATCTGCGGAACCAGCCCTACATCCGCGCGGACACAGGCCGCCGCAGCGCTCGCAGGCGTCCCCCTGGACCTCCCCTGCAAGTCACCTCCGACCTCTCATTGTAGCCGCTATTTCCGCAGATCAACTCTGCGGTGGTCGGGTGTGGGAGCGTGGGTTGGGTGGCAAGCCAGGGCTAAAGGAAGGTGGTCCTCAGCTCGGCTGGGCCGGGCAGCTCCCTCCGCTGGTGTTCCCCGCCATGGGCCCACCTTAAAGGGGTGGGGGCCACCTCATCTTGCCACTGGTGACAGCATCCCCGGGTCCTCCCTCCAAATGCGACTTGCAGCACCCCTCTTCCCATAATAGCCATACTTAGCCTCAGCGGGAGCCTGGCCTATAATTTATAAAGTGCAACCTCGTCCCCCCATGCCCCGCAGCTCCGGGGACTCTCCACGGACCTTATTTTTATACAAGATTAATAAAGACGTTTGCAAAAGATCCGAGTCGGTTCCGTGCCGTCCCAACCACGCACAGCCTGTTGCGCTCAGCAAACACTTTTCTTGTACAAGTTCTTCATAGCAGGTCTCTGCAAACAGGTTGGCGAAGGGCAGAAGGGCTTCTGCCCTAGAGTTGGGGGAGAAGGAGCCATATACTTCGAGAGGCGCGTATACTCTAGTGTCTTTCTGCCGGCCCCGCCCCATTTCCTCCAGTCCCGCCTCCTACCTGGGCACACAGACCCTTTTGCTTGTCCCCGCCCTATTCTCAGTCGCCAGTGAGTATCCCAGATTACTCCGTCGGCCTGGTTCCGATTTCAGGGAGTCCTTGCTCCCACTCCGTCTCTCCCTCCGCTCCGCGGCAGCCCGATTCTACCTGTCTGCCCAACCCCATCCTTCCGGCCCCGCCCCACCCCGGCCCCGCCTCCTTCCCCAGCTTTCACCTTGGCGGATCTGCCCCTGGTTGGGCGGAGCCTGGGGCTGCTGGACTGGTAGGACTTGGGAAGTCGGACGTTGGGATTCGGGGCTCCGTTCCCCGTCTTGCGTTCTAGCCGCGTCCTCCCGGCCAGGTTAGGTATCTGAGAGTAGGGGCTGCGCGCACCTGGGGCGGGCCAGCCGGTGGGAGGTAAAGGAGGGGCCGGTCCTGAGAGCAAGTCCGACTGAGACTCCCCTCCCGCGGGTCCCGCCCAGCCCTGGGCGCACCCGCTTTGTGCAGTCTGCGCAGCAAGCGCACCAGCTCCTCGTTGAAAAGGCCGCCAAGGCGCGCGGCCTGGCAGAAGAAGGTGAGGCCCGCGTGAGCGCGCTTGGTGCGGCAGGGGCTGCGGGACCGACCTTTCCAGCTTCGGTGCAGCCGCAGAGCCTGCGGCTTCTTGGAGTAGCAGCTTGAAGGAAAGTGGAGCAGCTTCCTCAGACACCGCCTCTCCCAGTCACCTCCATCCCACAGGTGGGGAAAGCAGGAAGCCACTTGTCTCCGGCCGGGGCAAGTTGGGGTCCAGGAAACTGACCCAGAATTCAGGGCTCCCATCTCTGGGGCAGGAACATCAGGGAACCCCCTGCACGGGACAGAGGCTGCTCCCCCCATCCTAGGCCCTGAAGCTGGGAACAGCTGTGCTTACCTCATCACCTCCTGCACTGACTTGTAGGGCACGAAGCCCTGGCTCATCAGCTTGAACAGCATCTCTCAGAACAGGGTCTGCAGGCCCTGGGGGTCACAGACCCGGCTGTTCCTCACCTGGCCTGGGGGTAGAGCATATGGAGGAGGGTAAGGAGGAGCCTCCCCCAAGCCAAGCCCACTCCTGCCCCACTAGCCTTGCCCCTCACCCAAGCACTGAGGGATGCGGGGGCTGTCTGTGAGGACACCAAGGAAGTCTCTGAAGCTCACTGTTCCATCACCTGGGAATAGACAGAGGGTCTGCTGGGGGGTGCCCGCCCCTGCAGAAGCCCTACCCTGCATATGCATTAGGGGCTTGCCAGTTCCAGGCATTAGAGAGTCCAGTTCTGCCTCTAGCCAAGCATCAACCCCATTTGAGTGCGGGAGAAAGAACCCTTGCTCTGGGAGAGCCCCAAGTTAGGATGAAGATTAAAGCAGCAGAAATGTTGAGGGTCTATGGGATAGGCATGTTGATCAGGGCAGGCTTCCTGGAAGAGGGAACTTTAAGAAGGACAGGTCAGAGATTTTGTAGGCAAGGTTAGCATTCTGCAGGACTAGAGATGAGAGAGGACAAGAGAGCAGGGTGGGGGCACCCACCATCCAAGTCAGCCTGCTGTAGAGCCTCGCACATCTCCTGTGGGCTCAGCTGGATACCCACATTGTGCAGCGTGGCTTTCATGCTCAGCATGTCCACAGTGCCTATAGTACCTGTCTGGCTGGAGCAGAACAGTTTGAAGATATCCTGGAATGCTGGGGGCAGGGAGCGGCAGGCAGCAAGGTGAACTGCACAACCAGGAGTCCTGAGATCCACACACTCTAGCTCAGGTGGGGCTGAGTACTTGGGTCACTCCAACCCCCTGGGCATTATAACTTAATATAAAGAACAACAATGTGGCTGCTGTGTGTTGGCACCTGTTAAGAGCCTATTCAGTTCTCATGTCCAAAATTCATATTTAGACTTTTGTATGAAAAACACTCAAAATTCACATCCACGGTCTCACCACAGTAGGGGCAATGCTGGGCTGTGGACTCAGGCAGTCTAGCTCTGGAGTGACAATCCCCTGAGCCTCCTGGAGCCCTGTGGAACCTGGCATATAGCAGGTACTGAAAGTTATTGATGATGATTATCTGAGGAGCCCCTGCCAATTTCAGAACTGATCTTTGGGTGGGATTGGGGCCCCCAAATGTAGAAGTGGTTTCTTCTACAGGACTGTTTTCTTCCATCCTTTCTCCCAACTTCCCTTCTCCCTTCCTCCTATCCTCTTTATCCATTCATCCATCCATCATCCAAACACCTTCCTATTTACCAATCTACCCTTTCTACCCCCTTCTCACACACACACACACACACACACACACACACACACACACACACACACACACACACACACACACACCAGTGAGTCTTGGAATTGTGGAGATGAGCAAATTAGACCGGCCTGGCATAGAGGGAGGGTTACAATGCACTGGCTTTTCACAGTGACCCCAGCCTCTGCACAGACAGCCCCTTATAGTTCTGCCCTGAGCATCCCTAATTTTCCTCCCTGCCCTCAGCCCTGGGGTCCTTACCTGTCAGCTGCTGGGTTGTCAGGGGTAGAAAGTTCTCTTCTGCAAAGCTGCCTCAGGGGGAAGAATTTGGAAAAGTCGTTGCACCTGCTGCAGAGAGATGCCAAGGCCAGGCAGGCAGTACCCTAAACCCAACACCCCAGGCCTGGCCTCCAGTCCCTGCCCTCACCTCTGAGACCCAGCACTGGGACCTGATTGTGCTGAATGGGCAGCCACAAGGCCCTTGAATGCCCTGGCCCTCTGTGAGGCCTGCTCAGCCCCCTGGGCCGTGGCTGCTGCTGGCTCCACCTGGGTCAGCAGGACAATGCCCTGCTGCTGCAGCTTCCCTTTCTGCATCTTGCCAGGCTGCTCCTCTCCTGGATCTCGTGTGAGCAGGCTTCCAGGCTTCCGTGGAGGCCTTGGAGGCAGGGAGAAGGCAGGGCAGAGGCCCAGCCCACTTGAGCACACAAACTCCAGGTGCCCTGGGACCAGGCCTGTGCACAGCTCTACCTCCTCCCAGGTCCCCTCACACTGGCCTGCACACATAGATTTAGCCAGGGGATTCTGGGGGCAGCAGCTTGTAGTAGTGGTGGACCCTCTCCCAGCCCTGGTCACCTGGACATTCTCTGTGCCGACAGGGCTCTCTTGGTCTTCTGCCCTCTGCTGTCTGAAAGGCAGAGAGCCACATGCTCTGAGGTTGGTCCAGAGCCTCAGACCTGCAGCCCCAGGCTGACATTGGGGTGGATTTAACATCTCTCTGCCAAGGATGCACTATGTCCCTTACCACAGACTTGCTCCTCTCTGTGAGGGAATCTGCTGCTCTGTTCTTTTGATTTTCTGCCTCCCTTAAGGCATCTCAACAAGGGAGAAGCAGGCCTGAGAGTCCCACAGTCAGAGTGGGTGGGAGGTGTCCAGCCCAAGGTGGGCTATGGCCCACTTTACCCCAGGTTCCCTCTTCCAAACAATGCAAGCCCACAAAACACTTTTTAAAAAGTACTTCAGGAAGATGGGTCCCAGTGACCCAGCCACTCCCCAGCGCCTCACCTCTACATCACCTTGTCATCTCCTCCAACCGCCTTCCAGCCTCCTGCCCCCTTCTCCTCTGGCCCTGGCCCAGTCTTAACTGCTCAGCCCTTCCTAAGCCCCTCTCCGAGGCCCTGGGCACCTTCCTCTGAGCTCCTATCAAGGCAGGGCTGGCTCGTGAGAATCTTCAAGACTGGGCTTCCCCTTGACAGGGAGCCTTGGCCCAAGTGGATTTCAAAGCTGACCAGGACCAAAGGCATGGCATTGCCTCCTCCTTTTCCTCCTCCCCGACTTCTCTCCTCACTGCCATGTCCACCCCAGCACTCCAAATTCCTTCCCTCTTTTGCTGCCATCTCTCTGTTTCCAGAAGCTTCCCCACATTGTCCATCCTCCCCCAACACATTTTGTGTGTTTGTTTAGTACATGTGTCTGGTGGAACGTGCTTCCTGTATGTGTGGCTGTGTTGTGCCTGTATGTGTGGTGTGCTGGTCAGCTGGTGGTGTGTATGTGTGTGCGCATATGTGTGCATGTGGAAGTGTACCATTACACATGGGCTCTCCCCTACATTTTGAGGGGCCTCCAACTCAAGGCTGTGGGACTCTGGAGGGCTAGTCCTTTGGCTTCGTTCTTCCCCTCCTTCAAGCCCCTGGACACATCCCTTCCCCAGGCCAAGCTTTCCCCATGGAGGGAGGGAGGACTCCCCTGCACACCTGCTCAGCTCCACCTGCCCGGCCCCACCCACAGGACACTCTTTCCTCAGAAGAGCTTAGTTGAAGGCCAAGAAGACACCCCATTTCCTGATCTGAGGAACTGAAGCCCCCCTAAGACTAGCCAGGAGTGTCTGTGGCTGGCTTAGAGGTCTGAACAGGCATGAGTGAAGTGGAACCACCCATGGGGACTAGGGGGGCAAAGCAGGGCTGACAGGGTTCTCAGGGGCCAGGTGGGGCTGGTGGAGCTGGGGAGCCATAAAAGGGAATGGCATCCCTAAAAAATAGAGACCAGGGCACTGCAGCCCGGTGAGCTCACTGGGCTGGGTGTGTTCGCACAAAAACTCTGATCAGGAGGCCGGCACTGGAGGCTTTATTGGTTTTGTCTAGTCAGTTCTCTGGGGAAGGGGAATTTGACAGCTTCAAATGGATTTTCAGCAATAATGGATTCACTTTCTTGATTTCTGGCACTGAGCTGTAATGTAGAAAAGAAAGTGTCACTCGGGCCTCAGTGGGAGGGTCAGGGGAGAGGGGTGAGTCCAGGGACCCCCAGAGGAGGGTGCTGTGTATGAAGGCCTCTTCCTGCTGCCTGCTGCTGGGCAGCTGACCTGTTGGGTCCATTCGTCACCAGAAAGCAAGGGGTGCTGGAGAACCCTCATTCTCATCCTCTGCTAGATGGAAGTGTCCTGAGCCAGGGCTGGGGTTGTCACGTTTTCAGCAAGGCAGGCACTAGCCTGAGCAGTCCCAGGGATGGTAAGGCCATGTGTCCTCCGGGTGAGAAGCTCTCTCATGCTGGAATGGCCCCATTTTGAACCCAGGTCCCTGCCCAAGCCCTGGCGTGCTCACCCTGCATGGTCCTCAGGCCGCCTCCAGCTCTGGCCTCAGCACGGCACCTCAGGCCACTGGAACCTTGTTTCCAGCAGCCTTTATGAGGTCACTGAGGTCGAGACGCCACGGCCTGGTCCATCCCCTACCTAGTCCCTCATTCCACTGTTCCCATCTCCCACCCAGCTGTGTGAGGAGGGGGTCCACGTCCTAGTGCAGCCGCCTTTTGGGGGCAGCTGTGGGCCAGTCTCACTTACTGTTTCATATCTCCTTGTGGCAGCAGGGACATGGTTGGTGACTGGAGAAGCTTCACTTCCCCTTCAGTGGTGGTCTTCTTGATCCCCAGCTTGCTGAAGTCAAGGTAAGTGTGGGGGAAGGTCTTGTCCTCCTGCTTCCAAGCTTTCTGCTGCTCCCCAGCTCCAAGAGGTTCCTTTAACGACTCCTTACTGAGCTTTCCCTGCCCAGGCTGTTCCAGAGCTGGCTGGGCAGCACCGTCCATGGCCTTCTGGGATGGAGCTTCGATCACATGCTCCAAACTGGGCAGGTCCATCTTGCTGGAGGCGGCCACGGGCAGGCAAGACATGAAGGTGGTTAGGTCTGCCAGGCCAATGGCAGGTGGGAGATCGGAGGAGGACAGGTCAGGGCTGGGCGGCTGCTGGGAGTCTGTGGTGGGAGGAGCTGGCTGGGCGCTGGGGTTCTGGAGCTGCTTCTTGGAGCACAGGGGGTCCGTGGGGACTGATTGCTGGTCCGGGTGGCTGTTCTTATCTGTGTTGTTCTTGTCAGGCTGCGTGCTGATTGCCCGTTCCAGGCTGTGTTTTGAGGCCTGGATGAGCTTGTCAGCCCAGAAGAGGTCCTTGGAGGTCTGCACACAGATGGAATGGTATTTGGTGGACAACTGGTCCTCCTCTGTGGGACTCAGGTAGCTGGAGTCTGATCTCATACTCCACTGGTTGATGTCCTTTAGAGTTAGCCCCTCTGTGTGGGGCAGGAGGGGCTCTATCATATACTCCTGCTGCCAAGGGTCTTCATTACAGGGAGTCGCCTTCAACTTGGGCCCCACATCCAGCTCAGCCTCAGGCTGCGGCAAATCCTCAGGCTCTGGCTCCACATCCGTCTCCAGTTCTGGGTCTACGTTCAGGTCCGATTGGTCTGGGGGCTCCAGCTCTAGCAACTCGTTATCCAGCTGAAAAGTGTCAACTGAAAGCTGAGGAGGCCTCTGCCCTTGAGGTCCTCCCTCGTGCCGTTCCCTGCCCCGCCCCCTCTCCCTCCCTCCCTGCCCTACTTTCCTACTGCTCACTTCCTCCCTAACTTGCCTCTGCAGAAGCCTGCCTGGGGCAGGGAGGCTGCAGCAGATGGTAAGGGTGGGTGAGCATGACTGTGCTAACCCTGGCCTGGACTAGGGGCCTGTCAAGGATTTAGTGAAGATGGGCTTCAAAGAACCCTGCCCCTTGCCTACCAGCTCCCCATACCTCCATCTCATCTTCGTCTGGTACCAGCTGGAACCCGTGTTGGTTTATGTTACCCCTAAGACAGAAGGAGACAGAGTGGGTAACAGGGCTTCAAGGCTTGGGGGCTGTGGCTCCTGGGGGAAGGGGATTCTGGGGCCCTCAAGGCCCCCTGCCTTGGACAGGGGCTGGCCAGTGCCCCCAGCTCAGCCACTCCCCGGGCTGTCCCCACTCTGACCAAGCATTCTGGAGTCCTATTCTTGAATCTTAGCAAGTTTAGGAAGTGCCTGGAGAGCTCACCAAGTCGCTCCCTGCTCCCAAAGAAGGATCCTGTTGGTCGGCAGGAGGCCCAATAATCTTCATTTTAATCAAGCATTGTAGTGAGCCAGTAGGGCTCACCCAGTGAATTGTTACCCAGAAAGCTGCTCCCCACAGAGGGAGAAGCCCAGAGCAATGTCCCCCGCCTGCCCCGCCCAGTTCCAGCAGAGGGGTGTGTGTGTATGTGTGGATGATTCCCTCGGTCTGGTCGGCTGTTCGCTGCCATCTCGGCTCCTGCCCTCAGCGCTCGGTCACTGTGACCTCCTTTCCTTCCTCGGGCACCTGCCCACGCCCACCTTAGACAGCTCTAAGGGGTCAGGTCCCATCCATGGGCACCCCTCCACCCCCACCCCCACCCCAGTCCTCCAATGTCAGGGTCTGTAGGCAGAAGCAGAAGAGGGCGATAGGACCCTCCCTTCTCTTCCCCCCTCCACCCACTATGGCCTTTTGGTGTGGATACTGCCCTTGGGGAGATTTTGGAAACAGGCAAGATGGAGGGAGATATTGGATGGGGAGGGGAGGCACACGAAAGCTTGGCAGTGGTGGAAGGAGTAAGGGTTAGTGGCCCGGGGGTTAGGGGAGGTCCTTGGATGATGGGGACCAGGTCTCACTGTGTTTCCACAATGTCCACCGATTCCTTGCAACAGCAGGGAAATCCACTGGCACCTGGCAAGGAGAAGGAGGTGAGGGCCAGGCTGCTGAGGGTGGGGGGACATCCCTGAGGGGTTCTAGAGCCCAGGCCAGGGGTGCTGCTCTAGCCACCTTCTCCCTCCAACCCTGTCCCTTACCACCCTGCTTGCCACCCTTCTCCCGCCCTCCCTTGTCCCTGCTCTCGCTGGCCTGTGTCACCAGCCCTATCTGCTGCCTTCCCCTGCCATGACTGCTTTTCCTCCACCCCGTGCTGCGTAAGGATGGGTGCTAAGAGAATTCATTCCATTTATTGAGTACTACTTGCCCAGGCCCTGGGCAGAGCACTTTCTGTGCTTTCTCTCATTGATTCAACATAACAAATGAGAAGAGATTCATTTGTCCGAGGTCCCTCAACTCATCACTGCTGAAGTCAGGACTTGAACACAAGTTTGACTCTTCACTGCCTTGCATGCTGTCCTACCCAGGAGTCTGTCACTGTGGGGACCCTATCATGCTTTGGTTGGCCTGTCTTCATTTCTCTCTGTGCTTGCCTCTCTGGCCCCTTTCTCCAGTCTCTCTGGCCAGGCCCAATATCTCTCTCTCATCCAAATCCTGGCATCTCCTACCCTGAAGACCATCCTCTCTTCCTCAGGCATCTCACCCCATACACCCTGGGTTGTCCATCCCCCAGGTCAGGCCACGGTTCTCACCCCAGGTATTTAGGTGATGCTGACACCTGTCTGGTAATTTATGAGCTCCAATTCCCTCTGCAGGGGAGACTTGAGTGATCCCTTAGGAGAGATCCCCCCACTCCAGTCCCTTCTCTGGTGACTTGTGTCTTTTACTGCAGAAGTTTCTTTTTCATTCTCTGGAGGTGGGGCCACCACACTATCCCATTCTCTGCTACCTGAGGTACAGATGGGGGCTGATGCTGGGCCATCAAGGCAATGGGCAAGCTGGGTCCCCATGAGCCTGGAGTGTGGCAGGAAATGATCCAAACACCTTCCTATTTACCAATCTACCCTTTCTACCCCCTTCTCACACACACACACACACACACACACACACACACACACACACACACACACACACACACACACACACCAGTGAGTCTTGGAATTGTGGAGATGAGCAAATTAGACCGGCCTGGCATAGAGGGAGGGTTACAATGCACTGGCTTTTCACAGTGACCCCAGCCTCTGCACAGACAGCCCCTTATAGTTCTGCCCTGAGCATCCCTAATTTTCCTCCCTGCCCTCAGCCCTGGGGTCCTTACCTGTCAGCTGCTGGGTTGTCAGGGGTAGAAAGTTCTCTTCTGCAAAGCTGCCTCAGGGGGAAGAATTTGGAAAAGTCGTTGCACCTGCTGCAGAGAGATGCCAAGGCCAGGCAGGCAGTACCCTAAACCCAACACCCCAGGCCTGGCCTCCAGTCCCTGCCCTCACCTCTGAGACCCAGCACTGGGACCTGATTGTGCTGAATGGGCAGCCACAAGGCCCTTGAATGCCCTGGCCCTCTGTGAGGCCTGCTCAGCCCCCTGGGCCGTGGCTGCTGCTGGCTCCACCTGGGTCAGCAGGACAATGCCCTGCTGCTGCAGCTTCCCTTTCTGCATCTTGCCAGGCTGCTCCTCTCCTGGATCTCGTGTGAGCAGGCTTCCAGGCTTCCGTGGAGGCCTTGGAGGCAGGGAGAAGGCAGGGCAGAGGCCCAGCCCACTTGAGCACACAAACTCCAGGTGCCCTGGGACCAGGCCTGTGCACAGCTCTACCTCCTCCCAGGTCCCCTCACACTGGCCTGCACACATAGATTTAGCCAGGGGATTCTGGGGGCAGCAGCTTGTAGTAGTGGTGGACCCTCTCCCAGCCCTGGTCACCTGGACATTCTCTGTGCCGACAGGGCTCTCTTGGTCTTCTGCCCTCTGCTGTCTGAAAGGCAGAGAGCCACATGCTCTGAGGTTGGTCCAGAGCCTCAGACCTGCAGCCCCAGGCTGACATTGGGGTGGATTTAACATCTCTCTGCCAAGGATGCACTATGTCCCTTACCACAGACTTGCTCCTCTCTGTGAGGGAATCTGCTGCTCTGTTCTTTTGATTTTCTGCCTCCCTTAAGGCATCTCAACAAGGGAGAAGCAGGCCTGAGAGTCCCACAGTCAGAGTGGGTGGGAGGTGTCCAGCCCAAGGTGGGCTATGGCCCACTTTACCCCAGGTTCCCTCTTCCAAACAATGCAAGCCCACAAAACACTTTTTAAAAAGTACTTCAGGAAGATGGGTCCCAGTGACCCAGCCACTCCCCAGCGCCTCACCTCTACATCACCTTGTCATCTCCTCCAACCGCCTTCCAGCCTCCTGCCCCCTTCTCCTCTGGCCCTGGCCCAGTCTTAACTGCTCAGCCCTTCCTAAGCCCCTCTCCGAGGCCCTGGGCACCTTCCTCTGAGCTCCTATCAAGGCAGGGCTGGCTCGTGAGAATCTTCAAGACTGGGCTTCCCCTTGACAGGGAGCCTTGGCCCAAGTGGATTTCAAAGCTGACCAGGACCAAAGGCATGGCATTGCCTCCTCCTTTTCCTCCTCCCCGACTTCTCTCCTCACTGCCATGTCCACCCCAGCACTCCAAATTCCTTCCCTCTTTTGCTGCCATCTCTCTGTTTCCAGAAGCTTCCCCACATTGTCCATCCTCCCCCAACACATTTTGTGTGTTTGTTTAGTACATGTGTCTGGTGGAACGTGCTTCCTGTATGTGTGGCTGTGTTGTGCCTGTATGTGTGGTGTGCTGGTCAGCTGGTGGTGTGTATGTGTGTGCGCATATGTGTGCATGTGGAAGTGTACCATTACACATGGGCTCTCCCCTACATTTTGAGGGGCCTCCAACTCAAGGCTGTGGGACTCTGGAGGGCTAGTCCTTTGGCTTCGTTCTTCCCCTCCTTCAAGCCCCTGGACACATCCCTTCCCCAGGCCAAGCTTTCCCCATGGAGGGAGGGAGGACTCCCCTGCACACCTGCTCAGCTCCACCTGCCCGGCCCCACCCACAGGACACTCTTTCCTCAGAAGAGCTTAGTTGAAGGCCAAGAAGACACCCCATTTCCTGATCTGAGGAACTGAAGCCCCCCTAAGACTAGCCAGGAGTGTCTGTGGCTGGCTTAGAGGTCTGAACAGGCATGAGTGAAGTGGAACCACCCATGGGGACTAGGGGGGCAAAGCAGGGCTGACAGGGTTCTCAGGGGCCAGGTGGGGCTGGTGGAGCTGGGGAGCCATAAAAGGGAATGGCATCCCTAAAAAATAGAGACCAGGGCACTGCAGCCCGGTGAGCTCACTGGGCTGGGTGTGTTCGCACAAAAACTCTGATCAGGAGGCCGGCACTGGAGGCTTTATTGGTTTTGTCTAGTCAGTTCTCTGGGGAAGGGGAATTTGACAGCTTCAAATGGATTTTCAGCAATAATGGATTCACTTTCTTGATTTCTGGCACTGAGCTGTAATGTAGAAAAGAAAGTGTCACTCGGGCCTCAGTGGGAGGGTCAGGGGAGAGGGGTGAGTCCAGGGACCCCCAGAGGAGGGTGCTGTGTATGAAGGCCTCTTCCTGCTGCCTGCTGCTGGGCAGCTGACCTGTTGGGTCCATTCGTCACCAGAAAGCAAGGGGTGCTGGAGAACCCTCATTCTCATCCTCTGCTAGATGGAAGTGTCCTGAGCCAGGGCTGGGGTTGTCACGTTTTCAGCAAGGCAGGCACTAGCCTGAGCAGTCCCAGGGATGGTAAGGCCATGTGTCCTCCGGGTGAGAAGCTCTCTCATGCTGGAATGGCCCCATTTTGAACCCAGGTCCCTGCCCAAGCCCTGGCGTGCTCACCCTGCATGGTCCTCAGGCCGCCTCCAGCTCTGGCCTCAGCACGGCACCTCAGGCCACTGGAACCTTGTTTCCAGCAGCCTTTATGAGGTCACTGAGGTCGAGACGCCACGGCCTGGTCCATCCCCTACCTAGTCCCTCATTCCACTGTTCCCATCTCCCACCCAGCTGTGTGAGGAGGGGGTCCACGTCCTAGTGCAGCCGCCTTTTGGGGGCAGCTGTGGGCCAGTCTCACTTACTGTTTCATATCTCCTTGTGGCAGCAGGGACATGGTTGGTGACTGGAGAAGCTTCACTTCCCCTTCAGTGGTGGTCTTCTTGATCCCCAGCTTGCTGAAGTCAAGGTAAGTGTGGGGGAAGGTCTTGTCCTCCTGCTTCCAAGCTTTCTGCTGCTCCCCAGCTCCAAGAGGTTCCTTTAACGACTCCTTACTGAGCTTTCCCTGCCCAGGCTGTTCCAGAGCTGGCTGGGCAGCACCGTCCATGGCCTTCTGGGATGGAGCTTCGATCACATGCTCCAAACTGGGCAGGTCCATCTTGCTGGAGGCGGCCACGGGCAGGCAAGACATGAAGGTGGTTAGGTCTGCCAGGCCAATGGCAGGTGGGAGATCGGAGGAGGACAGGTCAGGGCTGGGCGGCTGCTGGGAGTCTGTGGTGGGAGGAGCTGGCTGGGCGCTGGGGTTCTGGAGCTGCTTCTTGGAGCACAGGGGGTCCGTGGGGACTGATTGCTGGTCCGGGTGGCTGTTCTTATCTGTGTTGTTCTTGTCAGGCTGCGTGCTGATTGCCCGTTCCAGGCTGTGTTTTGAGGCCTGGATGAGCTTGTCAGCCCAGAAGAGGTCCTTGGAGGTCTGCACACAGATGGAATGGTATTTGGTGGACAACTGGTCCTCCTCTGTGGGACTCAGGTAGCTGGAGTCTGATCTCATACTCCACTGGTTGATGTCCTTTAGAGTTAGCCCCTCTGTGTGGGGCAGGAGGGGCTCTATCATATACTCCTGCTGCCAAGGGTCTTCATTACAGGGAGTCGCCTTCAACTTGGGCCCCACATCCAGCTCAGCCTCAGGCTGCGGCAAATCCTCAGGCTCTGGCTCCACATCCGTCTCCAGTTCTGGGTCTACGTTCAGGTCCGATTGGTCTGGGGGCTCCAGCTCTAGCAACTCGTTATCCAGCTGAAAAGTGTCAACTGAAAGCTGAGGAGGCCTCTGCCCTTGAGGTCCTCCCTCGTGCCGTTCCCTGCCCCGCCCCCTCTCCCTCCCTCCCTGCCCTACTTTCCTACTGCTCACTTCCTCCCTAACTTGCCTCTGCAGAAGCCTGCCTGGGGCAGGGAGGCTGCAGCAGATGGTAAGGGTGGGTGAGCATGACTGTGCTAACCCTGGCCTGGACTAGGGGCCTGTCAAGGATTTAGTGAAGATGGGCTTCAAAGAACCCTGCCCCTTGCCTACCAGCTCCCCATACCTCCATCTCATCTTCGTCTGGTACCAGCTGGAACCCGTGTTGGTTTATGTTACCCCTAAGACAGAAGGAGACAGAGTGGGTAACAGGGCTTCAAGGCTTGGGGGCTGTGGCTCCTGGGGGAAGGGGATTCTGGGGCCCTCAAGGCCCCCTGCCTTGGACAGGGGCTGGCCAGTGCCCCCAGCTCAGCCACTCCCCGGGCTGTCCCCACTCTGACCAAGCATTCTGGAGTCCTATTCTTGAATCTTAGCAAGTTTAGGAAGTGCCTGGAGAGCTCACCAAGTCGCTCCCTGCTCCCAAAGAAGGATCCTGTTGGTCGGCAGGAGGCCCAATAATCTTCATTTTAATCAAGCATTGTAGTGAGCCAGTAGGGCTCACCCAGTGAATTGTTACCCAGAAAGCTGCTCCCCACAGAGGGAGAAGCCCAGAGCAATGTCCCCCGCCTGCCCCGCCCAGTTCCAGCAGAGGGGTGTGTGTGTATGTGTGGATGATTCCCTCGGTCTGGTCGGCTGTTCGCTGCCATCTCGGCTCCTGCCCTCAGCGCTCGGTCACTGTGACCTCCTTTCCTTCCTCGGGCACCTGCCCACGCCCACCTTAGACAGCTCTAAGGGGTCAGGTCCCATCCATGGGCACCCCTCCACCCCCACCCCCACCCCAGTCCTCCAATGTCAGGGTCTGTAGGCAGAAGCAGAAGAGGGCGATAGGACCCTCCCTTCTCTTCCCCCCTCCACCCACTATGGCCTTTTGGTGTGGATACTGCCCTTGGGGAGATTTTGGAAACAGGCAAGATGGAGGGAGATATTGGATGGGGAGGGGAGGCACACGAAAGCTTGGCAGTGGTGGAAGGAGTAAGGGTTAGTGGCCCGGGGGTTAGGGGAGGTCCTTGGATGATGGGGACCAGGTCTCACTGTGTTTCCACAATGTCCACCGATTCCTTGCAACAGCAGGGAAATCCACTGGCACCTGGCAAGGAGAAGGAGGTGAGGGCCAGGCTGCTGAGGGTGGGGGGACATCCCTGAGGGGTTCTAGAGCCCAGGCCAGGGGTGCTGCTCTAGCCACCTTCTCCCTCCAACCCTGTCCCTTACCACCCTGCTTGCCACCCTTCTCCCGCCCTCCCTTGTCCCTGCTCTCGCTGGCCTGTGTCACCAGCCCTATCTGCTGCCTTCCCCTGCCATGACTGCTTTTCCTCCACCCCGTGCTGCGTAAGGATGGGTGCTAAGAGAATTCATTCCATTTATTGAGTACTACTTGCCCAGGCCCTGGGCAGAGCACTTTCTGTGCTTTCTCTCATTGATTCAACATAACAAATGAGAAGAGATTCATTTGTCCGAGGTCCCTCAACTCATCACTGCTGAAGTCAGGACTTGAACACAAGTTTGACTCTTCACTGCCTTGCATGCTGTCCTACCCAGGAGTCTGTCACTGTGGGGACCCTATCATGCTTTGGTTGGCCTGTCTTCATTTCTCTCTGTGCTTGCCTCTCTGGCCCCTTTCTCCAGTCTCTCTGGCCAGGCCCAATATCTCTCTCTCATCCAAATCCTGGCATCTCCTACCCTGAAGACCATCCTCTCTTCCTCAGGCATCTCACCCCATACACCCTGGGTTGTCCATCCCCCAGGTCAGGCCACGGTTCTCACCCCAGGTATTTAGGTGATGCTGACACCTGTCTGGTAATTTATGAGCTCCAATTCCCTCTGCAGGGCAGACTGAGTGATCCCTTAGGAGAGATCCCCCCACTCCAGTCCCTTCTCTGGTGACTTGTGTCTTTTACTGCAGAAGTTTCTTTTTCATTCTCTGGAGGTGGGGCCACCACACTATCCCATTCTCTGCTACCTGAGGTACAGATGGGGGCTGATGCTGGGCCATCAAGGCAATGGGCAAGCTGGGTCCCCATGAGCCTGGAGTGTGGCAGGAAATGAGCGCCTTGGCTCCGGCTGAGAAGAACTGCTCCCAGGACTACATCGGAAGGATGAGAACGCGCCTCTTCCTAGAGATGTAGAGGCTGGGGAGGGTCCTTGTGGGGCTGGTCCTGGGACTGGAATGTGGGCACATCCATGTTCTGCCTGGGCCTGGGGATCTTGGATCAGCTGGGGGGCCGGGCTAGGGGCCCCCTCCACAGGCTAGGGGTCCCCCTCCATGGGCAGGCTCCCAACCGTCAGCTCAGTGCTCTCTTCAGAGCCTCCGTCTCAACAACCACGCTCCCTTGGCTTCCCCCCCTCACCCGTCTCTCAAATCCACGGGCCGCAAGTGTTGCTATTCCCCAGGCTTCTGATCTCAGAGCTTTGCTTGCTTTGCAGACTTTCTCTGGGCAACTTAATCAACACCCACGGCCTTAATCCTTCCATGAACAGCCATTGGCTGTGGATAAGAAGGGAAAGTGCTATGGTGTGAACCTCATTTGTCAGCAGTTTGCTGCTATCTTGGCCCTTGTCCTCAGCAGCACTGGAGGATTGGAAGCAAAAGTCTGAGGTTGACTCAACTTGGGGACTTTGTGCCTAACTTTGGAATGTTCTATAGGGAGTCAAGTGACATTCTGTAGGCATGAAATAATTTTGATTTTCAGTTGCTGGTTGCTAGTATACAGAATTGTAAACCCTGAAATCACCCTAAAATCCTATTATTTCTAGTTTCTTTTCTCTTCTTCCTTCCTTCCTTTTTTCTTTTCTTTATTCTTTCTTTTTCTTCCTTCCTTCCTTTCTCTTTCTTTCTCCCCCTCCTTCCTCCCTTCCTTTCTTTCTTCTTTCTTTTCCATAAGGTTTTTCTACATACACAATAATGTGTGTCCTTCAAGACAGTTTTACTTCCCCTTTCCAATCTGGATGTCTCTTATTTCCTTCTCTTGTTTGACAGCACTGAGAACACCAGTACCAGGATGGACAGAACTGAGAGCGCGGGGGGCAGGCACTCAGTATTTCGCCATAAGTGTGATGCTGGCTGTAGTTTTTGTCACTGGTGTTCTTTTTTAAGTTGAGGAATTTCCCTTCTATCCCTGATTTACTTAGTTTTTAATTAGGAACTGTTGTTGGATTTTCTCTGATACTTTTTCAACACTTATTGTGACGATCATATGGTTTTTCTTTCAGATTCTAATATATATGCTATATAGAACATGTTATGTTAACATATGAATAATGTTATATTTTAAAAATAATTCTTTTATGATGGATCATTTTTAAAATATTAAAATCAGCCTTACATTCCTAGGATAAATCTCATTTGGTCATTCTATACATTGCTGAGTTTAATTTGGTAACTTTTTAGAAAATTTTTATATATATGTTCATGAGGTATATTGGTGTATAATTTTCTTATACTGTCTTTGTCAGGTTTGGATATTAGTGTAATTCTAGCCTCGTAGAAAGAGTTGAGAGATATTCCCTATTAAAATTTCTGGAAGAGCTTGTATAGAACTGGTATTATTTCTTCCTTCCTTTTGGCAGAATTTACAAAATGAAGCTTGGGAAACTAGGCCTGGAGTTTCCTTGTGGGAAGACTGTTAATTACAAATCTAACCTTAAAAAAAAAATAGATGCAGGGCTGTTTAGCCTATTTTTTCTTTTTTTGTGGTGAAATATACATAGTATAAAATTGCCCTTTTAAGGTCTTCTTAAGAATACAGTTAAGTATATAGTTCAGTGGCATTAAGGCCATTCACATTATTGTGCAACCATCACCATCATCTATTTCCAGAATACCTATTTCTTCTTGAGTGAACTTTGGGAGTTTGTATATTTTAAGGAATTTGTCCTTTTCATCTAAGTTGTCAAATTTATTGGCCTAAGTTGTTCACAATATCTCCCTATTATCCTTTTTATATCTGTGGAATCTGTAGTGCTGCCACCTTTTTATTCCTTATATTGGTAATTTCTTTTTTTGTTCCAGTTTGGCTCGAGATTTATCAATTTTGTGGATCTTCTTGGATCAGCCAGAGATATGTCTGATTCCTGCCTGATCACCCTAAAGTGACATCAGCCAGGCAATCAGTTGCAGAGCCACAGGTTTCCAATCAGGTTTTTATGATTTCACTGCTAACTGTTAAACATGGGCAACTAAGTACCACCAGGTATTTGAGGAAACCACTAACATGCAACTGACAGACCCAGAGAAAAGATGACTCCAGAGTACCAGAGGTGATTTGGGAAACAGAAGGTACCTTAAAGAAAAATTTACTATCTTCAGAGATTCGGAGATGAAGATACTCATTAATATATATCGCATCCAACAAAACAAGATAGGGATGCTACTAAAAAGAATTAGGAAAATAAAGTGCTTTTTGGCAAACAGAACTGGTAAATGAAACACCGAGGATCTTCCCAAAAAGTGGAACCAAAATATATCAAGAAAAAGTGAGAGAAAAAGATCAATAGGAAGTCTAGTTCTGAGTTACAGGAAGGAGATCCAGAAAGAATAGAGAACATGGAAACAAAGAGAAATCAAATTTTACTTGAGCTGAAGGATGAAATAAAATAAAGCAAACCTGATAGAATAGTTGACTAGATGTAGAGGTTGATAAAAACTAAGACTGTGATAAAACCAGAGTACCCTGGAAAAAGCAACTAGAAATTCCAGGAAAAACAAAAAGCTATTTGAGAAACAAAACTGTGGTATCTGTCCTATCTGCAGTGAATAGTACTTACGTAGTCACAATAATGTAAATCCTGTTTACCAACTTTTAGAGCCAACATATAGACAAAATTTGGAAAACATAATTTGAGCTGTGGGACAATGTAAATATTACCAACCTTGATATTTAAAAAAAATACATATATATATAGGTTAGAGTCTTCGGGAGGTGGAAGGCAGGGAGGAAAGCTGAAGGGAAAGGTAGGGGCGCTAAAGACTTCATCTTACTATGTGGGTGTCAAGATAGTGTCTGAAGTTGATGAAAAATAAAGTATATTCAACTTAGAAAGGTATCAGCAGATCTAAAATCGATGTTGGGAGGAGGGGGAAGGTGGTAGAGCAGGAAGGTGGTAATGTCTAGAACTGATAAATCAAGAAAGACCTGAAGGTAACCAGGCAGAGAAAGAGTTCAAGTGAACCTGGTGGTGGCACTGAGGAGTGAGACTGGGGCTGTGGTATAGGAGATTCTTGCTTTCCATCACTGAATAAGCGCTCTTCAGTACTATTTAACCATACACACATATTTTTTTTGATAAAATTAAAATAAAATGGTGAGCCCTAGCTACAGGCCAGGCAGTGTGTTAGGGACTGTGGACACAGTGATGAACACGCACAGTCTCTGCCCTCTGGGAGCTTTCAAGCCTGTGGCCATAACCTCAGAAAACCCTCCAGGCTTAGTTCTCCTACTTCTGAGCTTTGGACTCAAACTCCCACCACCAGCTGCACATTTCTCCCTAAGGGGACCTCCCTCTTGTCAGAGCCTGAGGTGTCTCCTCTCTCTGAAATATCCCTTGTTCCTTATTGTGATGGTGCTCAGGGTTGACCTCTTCCTGGAGGCCTACCGGACTCCACCCGGTGGCACTGGGCTTGGGACTCCTCCCCTAGTCACCCCTGGGTTGCTCACTTTGAATCTCTGGTCCTCTGTACAGAGTCTAGCACAAGGTGGATACTCAGCAAAAATCTGCACAAAGACATTAACTCCTTCCTCTCATCTTGCCAAACCCTGCAGTTTAGCCTTCATTTCTTAATTCAAGTTCATACCCTGTGTGTCTAGACCCATGTGGATGTCTGACCCTTCTCTTTTCTAATCTCTCATCTCTTGATAACCCTTTCTCCCCTCTCCCTGGTTCATCTCATCCTATCACCCAAATTTGAAACCTGGATCATTTGTGACCCCCCCCAACCCCTCAGCTCCTGATCTTCAAACTGCTGAGATTGACCTTGTGTTCATCCCTTTCTCCAGTCTCACTGCATTGTCTCATCTCCCAACGCCAAAGTCAGCACAGTCCTAGGGCTTACCACACACTGATGCTCAAGGCGGAGTGCTTTGCACATGATCAGTCCTCTAGTCATTCTGCACAAACTGCCACCACTCTCCTCACACAGAGGAGGAAACTTGCACAAGGTCACATAGCTATTAAGACCAGTGCCATGACTTGAATGCAGGTCTGATGGGCCCCAAAACCCATGATGCTTATCACTGTGCTGTCTGTATCTCTTTAGGCTTCTAGAAGGACCTCTACAATCACATTCCTCCCCTCCTCTGTCCCCCAACCTGGTCTTCTCAATGACCCAAGTGAACCTGCTGCCTCACACCTGCCTCTGGTTGCATCCGGACTGTAGGATGGCCTCAAAGATCCTGCATCATTTGACCTCTGCCTTCTTTTTTTGCTTTCTGGTATCCAGCTCCCTGCCTTGCCCCAAGCTCAAGCCACCCAGAGTATGGCAGACCCTTTAGTGCCCCAGTGCCTTTGTACATGCTATTTCTGATACACAGAAAGCAAAATCCTACTCATGCCTGATAGTTCAACTCACATCTCCAGTGTCATCATATCTGTGACATATCTAGCTGTCCAAGCTACATTTTTAAAGTTAACTCATCAGACTCAGGACCTACCACAAGAGTAAGCCCTGAAGGGGTGCAATAAATGCCAGAGGAGTGATTTAAGGTGTCTGCATACATTTGTTTGTGACAAAATTTGTTACCCTACAAATTTTGGTAAGGAGAAAAGCTGCTCTTTGGTTGTTGGTTCTTGGCACGTGTTAATGCTGGCCCGTATCCTCCGTGGGAGAGAAGGTCCCAAGAAGAAAGCCCCCCATTTCAGTGGTACTCTGAGCCCCCATTATCAGAAACGTGGGGGACTCAAGACCCGGAGGGGCAACTCTTTGCTTACTGAGAAGAGCGCAAACACAAAGGAGGCGCTCAGTAAATGTTGAAGCAATCTGCTTCTCCCTGCGAAAGCTCCAAGCGTCAACCAGGGACACCTGGATGTGAATTTGGGGGTTATCTGCAGTTTAGGATAATTTTATAAGTCGTTTTGCCCGTTGCACCCGGCAGAGGCTGGGTATGCTAGCTCGGATGGCACCTGCCCCTCACCCGCGCCTGGGTGGCGATGGGTCTGGCTGGGTTTGACCTTCCTTTCAGGCGCCCGGGCCTTAGGGAGCGGGGACAGGGGCCCCGGGTCTACCGTCGGCCCCGCGCCCCTTCCCCTCACTTTCACTTTTTCCCTCCCGCCCGCCGCCCCAACCCGCCACTCCCCACAACGCCGCCCCTCTGCGCCCTGCCCGCTGCGCGCCCGCCGGCTCCCACCTGTCACCCCCATGCTGACCGGGGCTCTGCCCAGAGGCGGGGACGGGCTGGTGGCTGCTGCCCCTCCGCCTCCACCGCGCTCTTGGGTTGGGGCTGTGCGAACGGTGGGAATGCTGGGGCCGCTGGCGCCTGTGCTGTCGCCATCTCTTGTGACGTCCCCGCCGACCCCCGCGGGCAGGGCACTGCGCTCAGGATTCCTAGCGCGGGTGAGCGCGGCCTTTGGGGGCTGTCCCCTAGAGAAGGCTGCCCCGCCCCGCCCCGCAGCGGCCCGGAGCAGGAGGGCGGCGACCGGTAAGCCTGGAGTGGGCTGGCCAGGCCCCTGCCACTGCCCCTTCCGTGTGCCCAGGACCCGTCCAAGATCCGGCTGAACCTGCAGCCTTTACTCCACGGTGTAGATGTGTGACAGTGTCACACTTGCTTGGGCACAGCTTCAGATGTAGAACCAGATGAGACAAGGCACCCTGTGTGCTGGTGGCATCCACCTTCAGACAGGCCTCTGTCCTGTGACCAAGGAACCCACGGTGCGGGGTTGTCACCTCTGCTCAGTGCACTCAGGGGGCGGCTGGAAGGGCCGGCAGTCCAGACCACAGGGTCAGGAATGGGTCCTGGCTCCGGGCATTGTGGCATGCCCACACCTATCCAGGCCTGGCAGTGCCTGGGCCTTGGGGGCCTCCCCCCGCTTCAGCCTGGCAGTGTCTGGCCAGGGACTTCCCTGCTGCCACCAGGTGGGGCATCTCGCCTAACTAGTCTGATAGGCCAGAGATGGGACTGGAAATTCCCTCTGGGAGGAGTGGCGGGAAAAGCGGCCCCATTCAAGGGTTGAAAACAGTCCTTGCCCCAAACAGGGGCAGACTTGACAAGACCCCATCAAGAAGGCAAAGGGAGGCAGCTCTTAGGATCTGAGGTGCAGCAAGCAGGTGGGAAAAGTGCAGACAGCCAGGGCCCAACCACATTAGTCATCACCCCAAACTTTATTGCTTACAGAGTTCTCTATAACCCGGACTCTGTGGTAACAAGGCTGCGGTTCTTCACAGGCTAGGGGCTGGGGGCGGGGGTCTCTCCCTGGGGAGCAGTATGGCTCGATGTGGGCAGCCGGACAGAGGCCACCTTGGCAAGACATGGGGATGAGCGTCTCCCAAGGAAGGATCTCAGGGGACGCCTCCTCTGCCCCAGGAGCTGATGCTAGCAGGCCCCTCACCCCACAATGATTCACAGTTGATTAATGCTACATGAGTCCTGATTCAGCTCCCCTGTGAAGAAGAAACTGGGTTGGGGCAATGGGTGGGTTGGGGGGGCTCATCGTAAAGAAATCTGGAGGTTTGAGGGGTTACACATGTGGAAACAGGTCAAGACTTGAGTCCCTTCATCCCATCTCCTGCTTGTGCTCATGAAGAGCCACTGACCTGCCCTCCTGGAGGGCGGCCATGAAAGTGCTTTGAGGTTGTCCGAGTGCAAAACGCAGCTGGCATGCCCGAGGGGGGCGCCAGGCAGGGTCAGCACATGTGGTACCTGAGCTGTGTTTCCGGAAGCTGGTGTGCTCAGTGTTGAAAGCTGTGGCCCAGCTAACAGTAGTGCCTACATGGCTGCTTTCTTTCGCATTATCATGCCCCGGCCTCAGATGTGCCCCTCAGGTAGGTCTCATGTCACCCTGCCCTTTAACAGCGAAGGACACCGAGTGCTAGCTAGTCAGGGCAGTGATGGGCCTGCGGCTGAGGCTTGGGCCTGCTGCTCTGGGGAACACAGGTGGCCAGCATCAAATGGGCACGTGGCTGGGGCTTGAGAACCATTTCACTTCAACACCTTCTTTGGGCCTTGACTGAAGCTAAGGTCAGCTCAGGACCTGTGTTGCAACACCCTGAAAAGTGTGGTGTGTCCTCCCAGGGAGACTTCCCAGTCAAGGCATCCCTCCCTGACTTTGTTGGAAGAGTTTCTAGACCGAAGAGGGGGTTTGATGGCCAGGCAAGGGGGTCAGAGGGCCCCCCCATTAACCCAAGGGCAGGCATGCCTGCCACCTTGGTCATGTGATGGACTAGGTGTGGGTCCTCGGGCACTCAGCCCCCTCACACCTGCATGGAGGTCACCCAAGGGGCTTGCCCTCCCCCCGACTGCCAGCAAGTGGGGGCACTTGCTCAGGCCAATCCAAACTGCTCAGGCCAGCTTGTTTAAGCCAGGGCAGACAAGACCCTCTGTGCTCCCATGGGAAGAGGCCTCCTGCCTTCCTCCTCCTCATGTGGGTGCTCTCTGGGTGGGGTCAGGCAGAGCACAGCTGGGAAATTCTGGGAGGCGTCTGGCTAACCCCCACTTGGCTGCTGCCAGCCCCTGGTCCCAGCTGAGCCAGGGTGTGGCGGATCTCCGGGAGCAGGCGGAGCCCATGTTTCAGGGGCAGCACTGAGCACCAGAGGAAGACTGCTTCTGGCAGAGCAGAGCTGTGGTGGAAGGCTGGGTTAGGGCCTGTTCTCCAGTTGGCCATGCTTGACCCTCCAGCTCCAGGCGAAACTGCCATCGGGGGCCAGGGTGCACTGCAGGTCGATGCCTGAGTCTGGTACCTCCATGTCGTAGCGCACGGGCTGCCCATCTTTGGTCACCAAGCTGAAGGCTGCAGCTGGTATCTGGCGGCAGAGAAAACCAGTGGGCCTGAGACAGTGGCGTGGGGCTCAGAAGCTACTCAGAAGTGTAAAGCTGACAGTCTCCTCCCCTGCTGAGACATCTCCAGTCAGGCAGGCATCCCTGAGGGAGTTACCTGCCTTCCATTCTGGAGGCCTTGAAGACCTGGCCCAAATGTAGGTCCTGAGGGCCACTCAACAAACACTTCCAGTCTTGCCCTGAGACCCTGCGGGACCTCCAAGGCCAACTACTCCCTATGGAGCCACTTATACTAAGTCGAAAGCCTTCCTCCTGGAGGGCTAGGCCAGGGCCACTGGCTTCTGGGACCCTGCCTCTAGTTGTGGATCTGTCCCCTTACCTGGCTGCTGATGCCAGTTGCGATATCTCCCACCTTGACCCGGTGGAACTCTCGGATGTGCAGGTGTTCACCATTGAGAGACTGTATTTGAACTTTCACACCTAGAAGGCAGGCAGGGTGACTGTCAGGAGAGCAGCTGCTGGCTCCCACGGGAGCCCTGTGCAGAGCAAAGCAGGTCGGTTGTGAGGAAGCTGCAGAGATGACATTTACACTGGGCTGGCCCTGATGTTATACGCCTGTTAGCTCTTCCTAGCCATTTTCCATCAACATCTGGAATTTGGCTTGCACAAAGCTGAGAGCTAAGGTTGGCTTCTATGGGGAAGTAGTATTCCAACTTGTACACAAAGCAGCAAGGAACTGGAAACAAAGATACATTTAAATTATAAGTATCAAATGAGATTGTGGGCAGCTTGGATTGTAATGTTCCCTGAGTTGGAGTGGCTCCTGGCCAGGCCTTGAGGGTTTGATGCCATGAGTCACACTGGCCCTGGGATATGAGCTGATGAAACTCTGAGCTGATGAAACCCTTGTTATATCAAAATCACAACATAACCTAGGCAACCAACTTGAAAACAAAGCTTTATTTATGCTCTTTCTCATCATCTGTCTTCAAATCCCAGAAGAGGGTCCCAGCAAACCTATTGCTGAGTTCTTGATTAAAATGCTTATGTGGTCCTGTCTTCCTTTTCTATTCAGAAGACATGAATTGTTCAGTTTTCCTGACTCCAAGCTAGGAGGGACTGCTCTCTGGGCCAAGCTAGGGACCTTCTGGGACTTCATCAGCAGCTCCCGAGAGGCAGTGGGAAAGGCTCTGCATGAGCCTGGCCTTTGCCCTGCACGTACTGGGTGTCTGGTGCCTTCCTCTTCTTCCCCACTGTGTGAGGGGAAGGGGGACATAAGCCCCTCAGACTCCCTAGTCCCAGGCGGATCAGGTGCTGTGGGAGCTGCTAGGCAGGCACGTGTTGGACTGTACCATTGAAATAGCTCGGAGTGTCAGTGGGCCGCCCCCGGGCCAGCACCATGTTCCAGCTGGAGCTGCGAGCCTCTGCCTGGCTGCTCCAGGAGTGCACACCGGAACTCAGGGTGTCCCGTGAGCTCTGAGAGGCCTTTGATGGGTTCTGAAACAACAAGGTGGGCACAGACTCAGGCCCCTGGGCTCAGAACTGCTCATGTTCTAGGCTGGAGCATGGCTCTGTGGGCCTGTTGGGGCTAAATGGGGGGCTGAGGCCATGAGGGGCCCCTGGGTTGGAGGAAGTGAGGAGTGTACCTATGGGGACTGAAGTCCAAGCCTCTTCCCCACTATCCTGTAGCCAAACAGGCCCTAACCCCCCGGTGTGCTGAAGGTGGACTGTCTCATTCTGAGAAACCAGGACCACCTGCCCTGGTGAGGACCCCTCCCAGAAGCAAAGGTGACCCCCATCACCCTCCCTTTACCCACTCCTTGCACATAGCCCATCCACCGGCTGGACACAAAGCCACCTGCTCTGTGCCCTGGCTCCTGGTCCATGGCCACCTCACCTTCTCACTGTCTTCTGACAGGGAGAGGCTGTCAACACTGAGGCACGAGAGAATTTGCTCTTGCTCCTCCAGAGAAAATGGCTGGGACAGGCTGTTCAGAAATAATTCTGCAGAGAAAAGCCAAAGGTGGCTGTGAACGCCTGGGAAGGGGCTGGCTGTGCTGTCAGGGTTCTTCCTGCACAGACTGCAGGAGCCAACCTCTGGGGAGGGGCTGGAGGAAAACTCACACTGGCTGGAAAAAGGATGAAGCACTGGACTTGGTGGGGGCCCAGGCCCCAACCCAGGGACCCAGAGGCCACAGCTATGGCTGCCCATACCTATTTCCAGCTGCTGCAGTTCCTGCTCAGGGAAGGTTGCCTTCCGCTCTGGTGAGCTGGGGTTTTTGGGGGGCGCTGGGTCCAGGGAGGACAGGGGCAGTGGTTCCCACGTCCCAGGTTCCTCCTTGGCCCAGTTCAGGCTTGCAGACCTGTTCCGCTCTGGGGGTTCTGGGGGTAGGGGAGGTTGGAGCTTAGGGGCCCCGCCTGTTGTGTCCTCAGCTGGCTGGGGCCCCGGCTCCCTGGGCTGGGCGTGCACGGTCTGGCGAGAGCGGGCATGGCTTGGCACATGGGCTGGCTGTGGGGGTGGCCGTCTGGGCTCTTTATACTCCCCTCTCCACGGGCTCCTCAGACCTCCCACTACAAAACAGAGAGCACATGTGGTGAGGAGACAGCGGACCAGCACACACTCCAGGCCAGGGAGGCAGCCCTTCCAGGGAGGGAGGACTCTTTCCTCACTAAGGGACACAATTTAGGAGGGTGGTGTGTGGTCTCTGGAGGACGTCTCTTCTGTAGGAGGCTTCCTATAATGCGAATAGGGCAGTATTTTTTACTTTATTCTACTTTCTTTCTAGGTTACAATTGCAAATTTAAAAATTAGAGTTGCTTCCAGAGAAGGATTTTGTGAACATTAATAGTAAAGAGAAGATTTAAAACAGCTCTGGGGTAACACCAGTTTAGAGTTCCCAGGCAAACTGGCCTCCCTGACCCTCCCTCCCTTCCTGCCCCCCACTGCCCCCCAACAGACAGTACTTCCTGAGGCACCATTTCTCTGGAGTAAGGGGCTGTTCATCTGTATCTGGGGTGGTGGGCCACACAAGGTCTCTCTCCTGTTTTATTCCTTTTTCATTCCCATAACCACTGCCTTTCCTCTGACCACCCCATGTGATGCTCTGTTATGTTCCATGTGTCACTCCAGGTTTGAGGACCTTCTTGCAAAGTGCGTGTTGCTTTTATCAATCTTTAAATACGAAGAGGGCATCATGTTCCAGGCCTTGCCCTGTTGGTCCTCTTTTTGCCCAGCATTGTGGTTTTAAGATCCAGGCTGCTTGGTGAACATGGAGTTGCTTTAACTGCTGCAGGGTGCTCCATGGGGCATCCCTGCCTTTGGCCTCTCCTCTCTCCTGGGAGGGACACCCATCTGCACCCAACTCCCCTCTCGCAAATGATGCTGCAGTGCACGTCCTCACACATAACCCCTTGTGGATCTCGTGACAGTCTCTTTGGCAGCGCTCCCAGGATAGAGTGCTGGGCCACAGGTCACTATGTCTGCCCAAGTGCTGCCAGGTGCCCCCCAGCAGACCCCAAGGGCTGCTGCCCCACCTTCCCACCAGCACTTGGTGTTACCAACTTTCTGATTTTTCCCAGTCAAATGGTGGCAAAGTGATACCTGGCTTTATTTCATATTTGCTGATTACTAATGAGTCCGAGCCCCCTTTATATGCTGTAGCCCTTCCCCCATCTCTTGAGCACTGTCTCTGCCTTGAGGTGTAGCACGAGGTACTTCCACTCACATCACCTTGGTCTTCCTACCAAGCCCGACAGTTAGGTTGGTGTCACCTCCAAGCTCTCGATGGGAAACCAAGACTCTGAGAGGTGGCGTGCCTTGCCCTTGACCACTACACCACTCAGCCGCCTCTTGCCCCTGCAGCCAGCACAGGGTTCTTACCGTGCTGCAGCGCCAGGCTGACCTTCCCCCCCAGCTCCACTGCAGACGCTCGGTGGACAGGCTCTCTCCTCAGCCCCTCCTGGATGGCCTGGGCTGTGAGAGGGCCACAGGAGGGTGGGATCTCCCTCACAGGCGGAGGCTCACTGGCAATCTGGGGGTCAAGAGGCAACGTGTAAGGTGTGCCTCCCCCTCATTTCCCAGCGGCCACTTTCTGTTCTTGCTCTTCCTGACCTACCCCCACCCTGCTGTGCTGGGGTCAGTCACAAGGACTGGAGTGGCCTGGGCTACAGTGAGGGCTGGTGCTTTTCTAAGAAAAGGGACAAAAGGGGCCAGTGGTGCAGGACAGAGCCAGGCAGCCTGCAGAGGTAGCCCAGGGGGTGGACGGAAGAGAGCCCTGACCTGCCATGACTCAGTTATGTCCTCATCTAGGGTCTCCCCTTGAACCCTCAGGTTTGGGTGGAAGTATTTTAGTCGGAATCCCACCTTTAGGATGAGGCCTCCTCCTGCTCTCCTCTGCCACCGAACAGTGGCCCAAATGGGAGGCCACCTCGAGCCTGCAGCCTGGGTCCCGTAGGCAGGCTGGCTTTCCCTCCTGGCCATCCCAGGTGCTGTCACTGACCTTGAGGCAGAGCGGCCCTCGAAAGTACTGGGTCCAAGGGTGGCAGCCATTGAGCATGTGCAGCATCATGCAGCAGCTGCTCCAGACATCCACCTTGGCATCGCAGGGCTTGCCCATCACCACCTCTGGAGCCATGTGGGTCTCTGTGCCGGGGATGTAGTCCCCTGAGAAGAAGAGAGAGACCAAAAAGTCACCTGTGAACTCTGACGGCCAAGAGCCTCGGCAATGACCACTTCAGGCAATTCCTGAGATACCCTGAATCTGTCTCTGTTAAAGTACTTTATATAGAGATAAGGCCTCTAAATCAAACTTGCAGGGGAAGAGCTAAGCTGGATTCTGCTGGGGACTGGTACAAAGAATATAGTAACCAAAGTACAGGCTCAGCCCTTTGGACCAAACCCTTAAAGTGCTTATTAAAAATAGGAGGGGCCTGGACATTGAAAATTAGGCTGTAGGAGACCAATTAATGGCATAATGTTCCTGAAATTTTAACAAGTGGGAAAAAAGGAAAAAGAAAACACATGTGCATAATGACTTGAAGGACTGACACCAGGTGTGAACAGTATTTTTTCCTGGTGATTTGTATTTTTTTATCTTAGCTGTCCTTTCAGCAAAAGATATTAGAAATTATTTCTATAATAAGAAAAAACACTTAAGTTATCTGGAAGTGCAGGGCAGGTGTCCCTGTTCAGTTTACATCTTCAGAATTACCAACACAGTCCTTTAGCAACAAGAAATCACTTGTGTTTGTTTTTCTTTTGCTCAAAATGAAATAATGTTATGCTTAATGCTATCAATGAATAAAGCAGGACACAAAATTGTGTTATAATGGCCTTAACTATGCATAGAAAAAAAAGGACCTGGAAGGAATTATCTAAAATAATCATGATTATCTCTCTGGGCAAGAGGAATGGTGAGAATTTTTTTCCTCCCCTTCCACTTAACTCTGTAGTTGCCAACTATTCAAAAATGGGCATGGATTAATCATCAGAAAAATAAGTTAAAAACACATTTCTCCAGTTACAGAGCCCAGGACCCTTGGATAGCTTTCCTATCATGCTTCTAGAAACTGTGCTCTCAGAGGCACGGGAGGGCTGAGATCACAAGCTGGGAGCCCAGCTCCTCCAAAAGGGCTGGACACAAGGAGTGGAGCCATGGGGGCTCTGAGGCAGAGGACCTGGGGCCGAGCACACGGTGCCGGCCCTTTGACTCCCTTCTCTGTGTAGTGGAACATCAGCAGTGAGCCCCTGACGTGCACTGCATTTAAGCCTACCAACAAAAGCCTTCTAAGCCAGGATTGTTGTGGGCTGGAATATAGTCGTGGACACAAAGTACTCACATCTCTGATTGCCATTATGGAAAGTGCAGAAGGCACATGGCTAATGTTTAGTAAAGGCTACTGGCTATTATCATGTGGGAGGCTCACCTGTGAGCAAAGACTTCCCCAGGCCATCAGGTTGAAGGCACACAGCATGGCCAAAGTCGCAGAGAGCGGCACAGCTCCCATCGCTGGACAGGAGCACATTGTCAGCTGCCAGGCCGCCCCAGAGAAGAGGAGGAACAGGTGAGTCATTTTGGGCCCCTGCCCAATCTGGACCTCCAGTGAGGCAATTTTCTGGCTGACCCTACGTGGCAGCTGCTGCTTCTGATTAGTTTCATTAGTCATGGAGGAAGGGAGGAGGGTATCAGCTCAGGGTAGGGGCAGGCATCAGGCCGGATCTCTGAGGGAGAGGGGACAGGAGCAGTTTATTCCTGGGGAGACTGCCAGACAGAGGGCTGGGAGCACACATTCCCACTTCACACAGGTACAGCACCGTCAGCCTCGCCCAGGCCCTGCTACAGGAGATGACCAGGCAGGCCCAGATCTGGGAGAAAATCAAGTAGGATGGGACGGGGAAGGAGCCCACAGGGGACCAGGGCGTGGGGGCCTGTGCCTCACCTTTGACATCGCCATGCAGAATCCTTCGGGTGTGGAGGTACTCCAGCCCTTCCAGAGCCTGGCCCAGGTAGTAAAGGGCCCGGTCTTCTGGCAGACAGCCCTTCTGCTTTATGAGCTGGCCCAGCGAGCCACCTAGGAGACCAATGGCCAGTCTTTACACGTGGCTTTTCCAGGCCTCCAAGCATGCCAGGGGCAAGGGCCTTCACAGGGCAGGCGATGGAAAGCAGGCCTTTTCTGCTGATGTCACAGGGTCAAGAGGTTAAAAATGGATTGACTGGGGATCTAGGCAAGACTTGGGGAAATCCTTGGCTCAGAATTTTGAGGGAGAAAGAGCGGCACCTGGCTTTTTACCTTCTAGTAGTTCCATGAAGATGTTGACCCAAGGACCTTCCTTCACAGCTCCATACAAAGGGACAATTCTGGGTGAGGTCAGTCCTGCACATGCCATCAACTCCTCTGCCCGAAACACTTCTACTCGCACCTGGAAGGGCCCAGAGGTGGCTGCAAGTCAGGGTAAGGGCCTAAGGCTAGCTCCCCGGCATACCCTGCACAGAGACCATGCATTTTAAGTGACGAGTCTGAAGCCAGGTAGGACTCTGGTGGGCCTACTGCGACCTGAGAGACTGAACTGGACCCTGGGGGTCAAGGCCAACTAGTACTTGATTCAATTGCTACAGGGCTGATGTGTGTAAAAACAGTCACACAAAACTACAGTCTCCTGGCATGCTACCCACCCCCAAATTTGCCAAAGAACTTTCTTCCCCAGCCCAAATGTCTGGCAGCGTCTATCTAGGACATGAGACATTTTGCTTATCAACACCCATGTCTATTTTCCAGATGCTGGCTTTCTCTGTAGCCAGAGCTAATGCGGCCAAGACTGGCTCTGTCAGTGTCTCTGGATCCTCAGCATCCTTCTCGGCACTTCTCTCAACTCATAATTTATCCTCTTTCCCAAGGGCTTAAATATCCATGTAGATGGGCAGTGTTTGTTTATTCTGTTTGCAGCTGTTTCCCCAGGGCATAGGAGAGGCTTCTGGGAAGGGGCTTGGCCAAGGCGCCTCCTGCAGTGGACTGGCGGGCCTGGAACCACCCACTCCTTTCTGCAGGGACCAGCAGGACATGGTGGGAAGAAATAGGCCTTGGATACAAACATCCTAGGCTAAGAATCTGCCTTGGTCATTTTCAAAGGTAGATCACGTCCCCTAAGCGGTGTTTCCACATGCAAATGGTGGCGATACTGGCATCTGATCCTGAGAGAGAGGACTTGGAGGGATAACGACCAGCAACAGGCCTGGTGACCAGTGGGTGCTCAAAAATGCCAGCTCCCCACTTCCTCCCTCCAGCTCAAGTAAGAACCGCTTGTTAAACACCTGGACTTCCTATTAAAGACTTGTCCTCCTTTGGAGCTGTGGCTGATTTTCCTGTTAGCTTGGAGAGGTACCACCAGTGGGCACCAGGGGGCACAAAAGCGGCCTCTTATAAATCAGTCAGGACTGGGCAGGGTTTTGTTGGGAGACCTGCTGACTTGGCAAACAGCAGCTCTGCCGATGTGGGGCTTTGGGGCTATTGGACTTTTGCCTATCAGTGGGAAATGTCTCTCTTCTGGTTACTTACAAAATATCTGGGTTGGTTAGTCAACTTTCATCAAGTCTGACTCTGTCAGTGTTTCCAGCTCTGAACCTGAGTTGGAACTAACTCACCAGCAGGATTTGTGTTCGCACACGTCTTTGACCCTACTGCTCCTGAGCTGTGAGTTGAAATGAAACACCTTGGGATGCTACAGGCAATTTTACATATTGGAAAGAAAGAGTGATGATTGATATTTGCAGGACGCTTTGTAAACTACTAGCATAAGGTAGTTCTGTTTCAATATTAGATCATGATGCAGTCTCCGATTATTTATTTTTATGTAAGTTTTGGAGGGTGTTGTGACAAAAAAGGCACTTCAGGGAAAATGTGGAGCAGGAAATGAAGGTGAATGGTGTCCAATCTGATTTCAAAGTTTGAGAAGGTCGGCAGGCCAATGAGGCATACCTCCCATTAGTAATTATGGTTGAGAACAGAAGAAAAAATTTTCAACTTGAATGTATTGTTATTCAAATGGTGACTAAGTTGTTAGGATAAAGACTTATTTGACCTGATAATGTAATACATGGAACTGTCATGTACTTGTTTTGGCCTGGGGTGCCATGAAAAATTACTGAGACATTAAGAGCTGTAAACCAGGAAAGTTTGGGAATCTCTGATTTAACTTTTAAGAAATCCTTCAATCCTTCAGAGTGTCCCAGCAATGTTAAAACCTTCCCACTTACCCAGACCAGAGGGGATCAGAGGGGACTCTTCGAAACAGGGTGCTTTAGAAGAATGTGCCAGCCCCCGGGAGAGCAAGCTGGAAGGGCAGTCCTGAGGGAGGCTGGTGGCGAGAAAGCACCTGGGCCTTCTAACCCACCTCTCCTCTCTGGACTTCAGTGTCCCCACCTGTAAAGTGAGGGGCTGAACTGTGCTGAAGATGTTAACAAGAGCTAATATTTAATGCCTACTTACATGCCAGGCACTATTCTAAGCACTTGATAAGCATTAGTTATTTATAACTTACAATATAGCCTATGAGGTGGTATTCTCATTATCTCTATTTTACAGACAGAAGCTGAAGCCTGGACAAGGAAGCTGCCCAAGGTCACTGGGTATAAAGTATCAGAGCTGGGATTGTGGTTGGGGAAGCCTGACTCCAGAGCTGCTGGCTACCCTGCCTCACCAAAGGCCATTCCAGGTGTATTAGCCTTTAAATCCTAACGTGTTTACAGACACCCAGGAGTGAGCACACCTGGATGGAAGTGTGCTCAGCAATCACCTAATTGCCAAAGCCACAAGCCACGAGCCACTTCCCTCTGCTTAATGGTATGCTTGACACTGGGGATCACTTTTGCCTTCTGGAAAATATCCCCTCTTGTTTTCTTTAGTATGCATATCTGCTTTATTTTATCAGTAAAAAAGGAGATAACTCTCTATAAGTTCTTTTAAAGATTCCCAGGAACATAAAATACATGAAAGTGACTAGTGCAGTCTGGGGCACAGAGTAGCCTGATAAATATTAGGGGGTTTGTCCCCTATTTCCTCATCACCATCGAGATAAGTCTCCCCTCTTTGTTCTGCTTTCCTTCTCAACATTCGTCCAGGCTGACCTCGCCCATGTCCCTGGCTGACGGCTGCTTCTACCACCTTCACACCATGTAAATATCCACTCCCTGTTATAATCTGAGCCCCTTCGGTCAGGAGTGTAGATTCTGCACCTCTGTCTCCAGCCCCTGGCGCAGTGTCTGGCACAGAGCAAGTGCTTGGCAACAGCTGTCTTGATTTGGCCAAGGCCACACTATTCCAGATCACTGGCAGAGTCAAAAAGGAGGCTCCCGGAACTCCATGCTCCAGCCAGATGTTCTCAAATAAATGGTTTTTAACTCTTCCGACCACAGATCCCTTCAAAAATCTGATAAATGATACAGACCCTTACCCATCAAAAATGTGTGTGCATCCATACATGCCACACACATACACACGTTAGAATAAAGCTCCATGAGTTCATGGAGCCTATGAATTCATCCTCTAACTAGGCTAAGAACTTAGACATTGGCTGTTAAAAAGCACCGAAGAGATGTCCATGTACCAATAAGGAAATCTGTCCATGATACACCATTACATGAAGAAACATCGTGCAGAACAACCTCTAGAGTACAATCTCATTTTAATAAACTACATATGTATATATGCATAACAAGTCTAAAAAGGTTTAAGTCAAAAGATGGTGACCTCTGAGAATGGATTGGGGGAATAGGGAGACATTTGCTTTTTGGGGTATCATTTGAATTTTTTTATAATGAGCCTATATTTATTTGCAATTAAAAGATTAAACAAAACCTTAAAAGACAAAAACCAAAAACCCTACATTAAGCCCTAGTCTTGTGACCAATCAGCATCTGACCTGGGGCCACACGTCTAGAGGGAGGACCAAGGGAGTGCTGTTGTCACCCCTGTGCTGGGCCCTCCACGGGGAGCATGGGAAGGTGCACAGACTTGCTTGGATCCTATGTGCAGCCTGACCTCTGACCTCTCTCCCACCCACTCCGTGGGGAACTGTTGCTTAGATTTTCCAGCTGATAATCCCGAAGGACACTACTGCCTGCCCGACCCTCTCCACATGAAAGAAGCCATCCCCACTAGACTGCGCTGGAGGAGGCGGAGGTCTAAGCGGCGGCTCCGGTGGGCTCAAGCAGCTGCTCTGGCTCTCAGGGGTCTGTGTGCTTGGAGGTTTTCTGACTGGCTTGGGAGGTGAGAAATGGAGTATTTGCCCTCTTCTACTATATTAGGGTTGTTTACCATGTTGCCTAGGACTCTGAGAACCTCAGCAGGAGAACAGCTGAGAAGCCCAGTGACTAAGCTCCCCAGCACTGGGCATTGATCTCCAGGACACTTCACACTCTCGACCTCCACCCCCTGCCTCCAGGAGGGACAGCTGAGCCTTCTCCGGTGGCTGAGGGAGGGACCTGCAGCTGCGGAGGCCAGGCACGTGGCCTTGGCATCCCAGCAGAAGATGACAGCCCATGCTGGCAAGAACTCAGCACGTGTTTCAGCCAGTGGGGGTGACAGGGGCAGCTTGCTTGTCTGACACAGTACACCTGAAGTCTGGGGTAATACCTATGGATAGTCCCCTCTCTCATCCCATTGCCCTGAGGCCCAAACTCGAGAACTCTTACCACCCTGGCCCACAGATAAGCCAGGGCAGCCAGGTTTCTCTGCATCACACCCTTAAAGCCACAGGCACCCATGAGTGGTGGGGTTGGTGGTGTCACTCTGCAGGGGGCCTGAGCATGCTGGGCCTGCCTGGTCTCTCTGGTCCCTTTCCTTGGGGATCAGTGTGCCCTTGACAAAGGTCATTTGAAATAAGGTCCATCTCTGAGCTAGCTTGTTTCCCCTTGCTGAGGCCAAGGAAATGGCCCACTGAAATGTTCCTGATTTCTGCCTTCTGAGGTCCTGGGTGCCAGCTCTGGGACTGTTTGGGCCAAGGACAAGGCAGCTTCCAATCACAATGAGCTGAGAGTTGGTGGTAGGAGAAAAGACATCGCAGGGGCACAGGGTCGACACCCCTCAAGGTCTGCGGCTGCTGGGCCAGGACAGTGTGATCTGACGGGAGGAGGCCTCAGTTCCAGGGTGGCTCTGTGCAAGGCACACTGCCCTCTCTGGTCTCCAGTTCTAACATTGTTGAGATGAGGCAGCGGGAGGGATGATACACGCTTCTGCCTTGAACCAAAATCCTAGAACCGTGAGTGTTCCTCCCACACTCCTTCTTGCAGAGTGGTTCAAAGCTGAATCCTAAGCCAGATAAACCTGGATCTCATTTCCTCATGATGGCCATCTCCCAGGACCTACATAGCTGGCCACCAGGAGGCAGAGCCCACCTCAGATCTGACTCCCCAAGTGCATGGCCTCCTCTGGAAGGCACGTATTAGGTGGAGGCTATTGCTCTTGTTACTACCTTCCGGTCCAGGTGTGGGCAGCCGCACTAAGTGGTTTAGGGGTTTCAGCTCAATGTGAAGTTCACAAAGACCCAACTGCGTTCTGGGTTTTGCCTGGCTCCCTAAAGGCCTGGGCGTCAGGAGTGGCTAGGGCTGCAGGCGCAGTCTCTCCCTCCCTCTCGCTTACACACATAGGGAGGGCAGCTCCCAGGCAGGGCTGTGTGACTGCGGCCGCTCCCTTCTGGTTCCAGCTGACCCAGCTGCCTAGCCATAATCAGACTCTGTTAACAGGTCAGATCCATGGCCACCCTATCTTTTGACTAGGCTGTGACTATCCTTGAAAGAAAGCAGAGGGAAAACCGCAGGCCACCTGCCTGGCTTCCCTCTTCAGCACTGGAGCCCTGGCGTGCCTTTTTGTTTCTGGTGTACCTTTTTGACAGCACACTGGAAGCCGGTCTGCTTGTCCTCCATCCTATGCACCTCTCCAAAGGAGCCTCTGCCCAGGCAGGGCTGGCGTGCAGCCCAGTGGACCTCCTCTCGGTACTCATAATCCACCGGCTTGAGTTTCTGGGGTTGGCAGGAGAGAGAGGCCAGGTTCAGTGGTCAGAGCGGTGGAGGGACGAAGGGTTACAGTGAAGAAGACTGTCCAGCCAGTGGCCCTTACCGGGCTGCTGAGCCCCCACAACCAAAGACAGTGCCAGGTCTGAGGCAGGGCTCTGGAGGGGCAGGACCAGAGTGGGTGACGGGAATAAGAAGGCAAAGGAGAGCTTCACGGATGCCCCAGGCCAGCCAATCCCTATGATGGGAAAACCTTCCCAGGCTAGGGGTTGTGGGATAGAGATGAAACGGCCAATAACCTGGACAGTGAGCCATAAAGTAGGAGAAAGGGAGGGACAGTGAAGAGAGGCAGGGCACAGGGATGTCAAAGTTGGATGGCATAAAACCTGAAAATTTAAGTCTGGCAAATCACTTAGAGGTACAAAGTGCTCTAGTAAGAGAACTAGAAGAAAGGGGCAGGCAGGCAGGTAGTGAAGATGGGCAGAGTCCTTTTTTCATCTCGGGCGTGAAAGGTAACATCTGCAGTTGATGTTTGCTTATTCCTATTTCTCAGCCTATGTATTATTTGTAAAACACAGCCACACATGTATACACCATCAGCAACACGGAGGGAACCAACCAGAAGAACACAGAAAAAGTTCAAACACTGAAAAGGGAGTCTGGGAGTAGAGTAGGGGGCCACTGCTTTTCATCAATGAGAAGTACTTCTCCATTATTTAACTCGTTATCACATGCATCAGTGACATTGATAAAGACAGAAAACTTCTCCCCAAAGGGTGGGAACCAGAAAGCAGGTCTGGCAGCTTCTGAGTGATGCTCCTCCTGCCGCAGGTGCCCCCTGACTCCTAGCTGAGGCTCTTAGCCCTGGAGTCGGGTGGTGGTGGTGTGTGTACCTGTGTTTGGGGGATCGCCTACCTCAGTAAGCAGGACTCCCTCGCTGTCCTCTGTTTCGGGGCTGGGCCCCTGGGGCTTGGAGCCCCCTGCCGACCAGGTCTTGGCCAGGCTGGCCAGGCTATGGGCCGGGCCTGAGCTCACACTGCCTCGCAGAGCATGCACCAAGTATTCCTCCACAGAAAACTTCTCACATGTGCCGCGAGTTGGGCAGCCGGGCTCCAGGTGTGGGCCAGGCAAGGGCTTCTGACTGTCTACACAGGCCAGTTTGCCCAGGTATGGACCTGGCAGGGGCTTCTGACTGTCTATGTAGGCCAGTTTGCCCAGGAAGAAGGACTCTAAGGGGTGAGGTTTCCAGGGCTGGAGAGGGTAGAATGGGAAGGGATGGGGCAGTCTACTGTAGGGGAAGGGGTGAGAGGGCTGGGGCAGGGGCCCTATGTCCTGGGGGTGGTGGAGTTTCCACACGTGGTTTAGACACTGCAAGGGGCTGATCAGTTTATGGAGTTCCGATCGAGGCAGTGCTGGCCGCAGGCTCTCCCCAAGTTTCTTAAAACAGAGTTGGCCAAGGCCTGGCTCCTTCAGAGGCTTGGTGAACTGGAGGGTGTTTCTAACATATGGGGCACTTAGCGGAGACTCATCCTCCTGTGGGGGAAAATGCAGGTTAGGACACAGGGCCAGGGATAAGGCAGCAGCACCAATCCAAAGGCCCCAGGAGTCTGGGGCCTGGGGTGTGGTGACAGGTCTCACCTGCACGGGGACTGTGCAGCTCTCCTGCTCAGGAGTTCTGGGGAGGGGTTTGGCCAAGGTCACTCCTGCCTGAGCCAGGGACTTTGAGCTCTTCTTCTTGCGTTTTTTCTGGGCTTTGCTGCGACGCTTCCCCTTCCAAAACACACGGGCCATTTTGCCCTCAGTTGCATGGGCCACATTGTTGGGAATTTGATCGAGACTCTCGGACTGGCTGTCAAATGGGACAGATAGGCGTTTTGAGTGTGGGGAGGCAGGAAGACCTAACAGGTAGCTGCCGTTAGAATCATATCCACCCGAAGGTAAATCCCAGCCTAGTTAGTACTTGTGTGAATGTGGGAAAGTTCCTAAACCACAGGGAACCTCAGTTTTCTTATTTTAAAATTGGGGTGGTATTTTCTGCCACACAGGTGGAGATGAGGTTTAAGTGAATCAGCCTATCTCTGTGCCCGACCCCAAAGCCAGCTGCCAATAAGCAGCAGTTATCACTGTTGTGACAGGTGAGCCCCTCTCCTCTGCTGGGGGGAGGAGCGTGTGGGGTAGACACAGCGTTCTCTTGCTGCTCTCCAAGGAGGGCTGCCTCTGGCAAGGTCCTGGAAGGGGGTGTGCGACTCAGAGGGCCGCACTCCACGGTGGGCAATCTCAGCTCTGATTGACGAGGGTTTGTTTCTATGACCTCTGGCAGGAGGAACAGTTGAGGTTGTTCACCTTCACCCCCCTGGTTCCTGGAGATGCCTGGCTGGTGTAGGAATGTGAGGAGTTGCACACACAGACGCCTGGGCTAGTACCAGGGAAGCCTGCCCTTCTCTGACGGCCTAGGGGCTCACCTCCGTCACAGATCTAAGTTGGCTCTTACCCTTGCCAGGTACGAAGGCACTGGCAACACAAGAGTTTCTAAAAAGGGCTGCTGCCAAACAGCTTTGGAGCAGACGGCAGCCTCAGCCACTCCCCATGGCCTCATCTTCTGCCCCCATCCCCCTGACAAGGGAGGCAGACCCACCCAAGTCCTGAAGGGCTGCTACAGGTTTCTCTCAGGCAGCTGAAAGCAGTAGGTCCATCAGAAACCCCCTACCCTGGGCCAAAAGGCATCTGGGAGAGTGTAAAGAATCTGACCAAACACTGAGCGTTTTTGGTTCAAGGCAGCAGCCTTCCCCACGGTCTTCCCCACAATCTTTTTATCACTAGCAATTTCCAAATTCCAATGGTAAAAAGGTCCACCTGGTGGTAGAGGAGGGAATTGTTTTCAGGTTCATCTTTTGCCAAAAATCATCTTTGGGGGCAGGGTGCCTGGGAAAACACTGAGCCTCCCTCCAGCTTTCTTTCCACAGGGTCCCTGAGCTTCAGGTCTGTGGCCCCACCTGTTTCTAAGCCTCCATCCCTCCTTGGGTGTATCTCTCAGGAGAAAAGACACCAGCAGGTTTCTCCCACAGTTAGAGCCCCTCCGGGCCTGCACTCGGGTCACGCACCAGTGGGAAAGTGACTCCTGTTCCCAGCACCCTCCCTATTGATGGGAAACGAGGGGAGCAGCAAGGACTCTGAGGGGAATAAAAATAAATGTCAAGTTGATGGGACCCAGAGGCAGTCATCCACACTCCGTGAAAAGCTTTTGAAAAGCTTATTTGGCCGAGAGAGCAGCTCAGCCAAGAAAGCCTGGGTGGGTTCCAAGAGTTGAACCACAGGTGCTGAGGGAGGGTGCCAGGGGTCACTTGGGAGCAGCCTGGGCAAGCAGCTGGGGGAGCGAGGGCTCCGGTTTCAGCTCCCTGGGTCCCACTCAAGCTTGCCTCCTTACCTGTACTGTTTGGACCCAGCGATGAAAATCCGTTCTGAAAAGGTGGGGCTGAACTCTTGGCTATTCTCACCTTGTAAGTAAAAGAGAAGGGGTTGAACAAGCACAGTGGAGTGAACAAACAGGAGTTCAGCACTTAGGAGAGATACTACCCTCCTGGGGCACTTCTCCTTCCCAGACCACCTACAACTGCCAATGCCAGCAGCCCTCACTGTCTCAGCCCCTCACCCCACCCTCCAGCTGGAGGTCAGGAGCAGAAGGCATGCCTCTAATATGGGACTGTGGGGGCACCCACTTACTTCACAGCTGAAGCTTAAGTGAGGTGACCCAACGCAGTGCCTGGCAGAGGCCAACAGAAACTATTATATAGTTATATATGTATGTGTGTATGTGTGTGTGTGTGTGTGTGTGTGTGTGTGTATAACATTATGTTACTCATTCCAATTTAATTTTTATCCTCTCATCTTGCCTCAAAACCAGCCAGAAGGAAGTGGAAAATGAGAGGAAGGGGTGAGTGGAAGTGCTATTGTGGATAGATTGTGGATATTGATATGATAGGGGTGAGTGGAAGTGCTATTGTGGATAGAATAATTAGGGGTGAAGTTAGTTTTGTAATTTTTATTGTTTCAAATTGTCATTTTATTTTTATGTTGTTGGCAGCTGGAAGTATTGTTAGTGTTGTGGAGTATCCTAGGCGTACGTATAAGTGGAAAAATGCTACCATGAGCTGTTGGTCTTGCAGGCTCCACCCTAAGAATGCTCCTGGGTTACAGGGTAGGTGTGGGGGGAGAGGAGGGCTCCTGGGTCCCACCCTCCTGGGAGTGTCTTAGGTTCTGGTGGCAGCTACCATTCCGAGTCATTTTGAGGTATCATGAGTGGAAGCACAAAGGCCCAGAGGGGGCCTCACCCTGCAGTGGCCTTTGGCCCCTTGACTGGCCCAGCAGGCCCCAAAGCAGGTGTTCATTCTCAGGGCGGGGCCACCTCGAGGTGGAAGGTGGTGCAAAGCCTACGGGCCACAAAGGGGCTTTCCAGGAGACCTGGCCTTTCCTGTCTGGGGCCTCTCCAGAGATGCTTAGGCTGCTCAAGGTCACAGCGGAAGGCTAATGGTCTGCTTGACGATCCTGCCAAGATCCCCAGGACCTGGGCAGCCCATGCATTCCTGCCTCCCAGCTCTCCTCCCTGCTCTGGTTATGATGGGCAGAAGCCTCCATTTGCCACTTCTCCCTTCCTGCATCCCACTCCCTAACACAACTATAGCTCCCGCGTCACACTCATTCTTAGCTTAATCCCCAAGTTGTGACTTGTGGGAATCTCATAGCAGTCACCCTGACCTCCCTTTTCCACAGGGGTCCTGAGCCTCACCTGTGCACAGCCGCCCTTGCACGAGGACTGCACCTGCCTGCAGACCCAGACGCCCGCCCACCCTGCCACCAGCCCCAATCCGGGCCCCTTACATTCAGCCTGGGCAATGATGGAGATGGCTGCCAGCCCTCCCTCGGAGCCGTCCTTGGCCGTGCCTTTGGTAATCACGTCGTTCAGGATCTCCCACTTCCCGCAGAACACTGGGCTCTTCTCCACGGCCTCAAGCTTGTTGATGGAGCTTTCTTTCTTCCCCATGGCCTGTGTCTTCTCCTTGGCTTTGGCGAGCTCCTTCTGCTGCCCGACCGCCAAGCCAGGGGCGCCTGGGCAGGCCATTTCCATCACTGCCATCTCCAAGGCTCACGCTCACACTGAGAGACCAAACACAGAAGGGGTCACTCCCAGACCCCAAGGGGCCCAGGGCTGGTTTGGGTCAGAGGAGAAAAGCAGGAGGAAAAGGGTCTCTGTTTCTTTATGCCACATTCTCCTCCAAACATCTCAAATGGCAAAGGAGACAACCTCTCAACATCTATGATTGTTCCATGTGGTGTAAGCCCCCCACAGTCCTACTGGCACACCACCAAAAACAGACTCCTCTGCTTTGCCCAATAAAAGAGGATTCCAGCCCACCTCCTCCCAGTCAGCCACAGCAGAAACATCTGGGTTGGTTCTTTCTTGCCTTTATAAATAATGGCTGAATCTTTTTCTCTTGTTTGTGGGGAAATTTGCTTCCCTAGAACACAGTGGTGGATCCTATGCTCCAAAACCATCAGGCACTTCACTGACTTTGAACAAGGCTTGCCTTCTTAGAGGACATGTCTACACTATCAACGTGGCTTTTCTCCAAGTGGGGAAAATCAAGTTTTCATTCCCTAGTAGGAAGTATATATATGCACACACACACATGCATATATATGAAATTTTACAAAGTTTAAAATATGAGCATGCAAATGACAGCCCCAGTACTTGGCGCCTCCCCAGGATCATCTGTCCGTGGCTCTCCAGGAGGAATTGACGTGATTCCTCTGTGATTTCCAAACTTACTTGCTGAAAACCTTTCCTAGGGATCACTTTTCTTTTAGGTGATCTTAGTAGTGCAGTTTACATTAGAGCTCCCAACACCAACCTATACCCCTAGAAACAGGAGGACCAAGGATAAGAATTTACCTCTCTCTGGGGTCTATCTCCATCAGCCGTGGGTGTTACTAGGCAGCTACAAGGGAGAGTCGGCCCAGCATTGAGACAATCTGTGCAAATGGTTTGTGAACTGGAATTGTTGTGAAAGAGACAGCACTAATCTGAGACTGTTACCATTTGACTGGGATGGTGAACTCTCAGAGGCCAGGGCCCTTCTGGGTCATGACTTGGTTTAGATAAAGTCTGAGAAGGCATTAAATTCAGACAGGTTTTTAATAAGTGGTGTCTGCTGGCAGGTTGGTCTTAAAGCTGTTACTAACAGATGCAGTCTTCTGCTATAATGCCATTCATTCTGGATCATGCCTCTGCTTGCTCTTGGGGCAGAAAGGCAGACCATGTGAAACCAAACCCCAAATGCCTCTGGCCCTCTGCCCTATCAGGCTGGAAGCTTAAAGGAGACAGTGGGAAGTGAGGACACTATGCTGAAGCCTTCCTCCTACCGAAACACCCAATGGCTATGAAAGGCTGAGCCAGCTCAGCTGGAGGTGGGGTGAGGGTGGAATGAGTGTGTTGGTCACTGCTAATTTGATCCTTAGAGCTCTGCCTTCAAGGGCCTACTGGCTCTGAACTCCAAGCAGCTCCAGCTTTCAGCGTGGATGCCGGGGTTTGGTCCTGAAGGCTGGATGCTGAGGGAGCTGAATGGGCACCTCCTGGTTACCTGATGACTGAAGAAGTCTAAGGGGTATTCTGATTTCCAGGTAGGGGAAAGTCCTCCAAGGCAGGCTGCTTTTCTTGTAAGCATGCTTCCGTCCCATCCCTTACCTGCTCAACCCCTTCTACCTCCAAAAAGGAACCGATCTAGGGCCTATGGTAGCGTGTATCTTTCCCAGCCTCTTTACCAGGGGAAACACGATCTTAAAAACAACCCCAAATCCTCCAAGCCTAACAATATTAGAGGCATGTTTACAGAGATCTCAATAGTATTTTAACTTCCTTGTTTTCACATGAAGAAACTGGCACTAATTAGGCAGAGACTTGCCCAAGGTCACCCAGCATGCATGTGGCAGTGCAGGGCCAGGGCCAAGACCCCTAGGCTCTAGGCTGTGCCGTCCACTCCCCACGTCTCCTGGGCTCCAGGCAAACACGGGATAGGGGAAGAGGGGACTCATGGTCTCCCCTGGTCAGAAGGCTCCTGAGGGCAGAGGTGGTGCTCTCAGTGGACAGCACAGCGGGGCACAGACAAGACAATGGAGGTTGGCTGAATGAGGGAATCGAAGGATGACCTTCAGAGACAGGGTGATCCTGAGCAATAAGGATGAAGACAGTCCCGTGGGAAAGGTGAGAGAATGAGGCCAAGTGGCCACAGTTGTTCTGACGGCGCCCAGTGGTTGGAGATCCAGCTGTGCTTGGGTGACATAGCCCGTCTTTGCCTGGCTGACTCATTCTGAGCCGGAGCTCCTCCAGGGAGGCTGTGGGCCACCCCTTGCCCCCAGGGGCTGTCCTTTCACCTTGGTGGCTATGTGCGCTGCTGGCAGGGGCCCTGATCCCCCCCTCCACAAGCATGCTGGGCTCCCCTGTCCCGGGGAAGCTGAGGCTCAGGCAGCCGAGCTCAGGGCCTCCACTGCAGTTCCCTGATGACTCATTCAGAAGCCTGGCAGGCAGAGAGGAGACCAAGCAGGTCGTGGAGAACCTAACCCAGCAGCTGGCAACTGGACCTGTGAAGGGCACGGGAAAACAGGCTGACCCTCACCTCCCAAGGCACGAAATCACGGCTGGGAGCTGTACGGCTTCTTCTGTGGCTGGCTTTCTTGTGCCACATGACCATGACTCAGACCCTCACCAACAGCCTGCAAGTTCAAGAGGCTATTCTTGGGACACTTTGGCCTGACAGCAGCTCTCACTCACATTCACACACGCTTGCTCCCTCCTTCCTTCCCCACTTCTATATGGGTTCTTTTTTGTTCTACAAAGAACAGGAGTCTGCATTAAGACTGGGACTTTTGGCCAGGTGGCCTTCCCAGCCCTGGGCTCTACCCCTTCTCTCTCCTGCAGCCTGTAGGGAATGAGGACTAAGTGGGAGTCCATTTGTCTCTTCCTTTGGCAGCGAGTCAAAATCCTGATTCATTACTCAGTCTGGACACTCTCCCCAACTCCACTCAGGCCTCAAATGCATTCTGCCTCTCTGTTCTGTGTCAAAGCTGAGGATGTGAGCACCGGCAACAGTCAAACCCACTCAGCTCACCTACAAGGCCGTGGAAATGCAAGGGGAAAGGAGAAGGTGGGATTCATTCAGTATTCTTTCAAGGGCCTAATGCATGTACACGGCCTATTCTTTCTTTTGTGCTGCCTTGATGATCCCCTGGAGAAGTCTGGGTAGCAAAGACTGAGACAGTATCAGATCAATCCTTGTACATAACTGCATGACATGCTGGCTGTGGACAAGGCTCCTGGGCCTGGGACTCAAACTCAGCTCCCTCATCAGCCAGGAAAGGTCTTCTGTTCAACTTTGGGATTTCTTAATGTGGATTCAAGGATGGCTTCAGGATGATGTGAGCCCGGAAACTATATGCAGTTTCTGTTTTTCCAGGGAAGAGGTCCAGAGCTTTCATCCTGTCCTCCAGGGGTCTGACATGCCCCAGAAGATTGCTGCAGTCTCCCCAGAAGATCAAGGCCAGGGTTAAACACCTGATTCTGGCACTGCTCTTCCATGCCAAAGAAGAGCTCACCAATGCAGCACCTTCCTACCTAACTACAAGTTAAAACAACCAGATGAGTTCTAAAATGCACTCACCCTCGGCCTCCTGAATCAGTCACTGGGCGTTTGGCCCAGAATCTGTACTTTTGACAAGTTCTCTGGAAGATTCTGATGCCAAGGGGCCAGGGACTGTCATTTGACTCCTGCTCTCTACTGTAAGGCTATGCTGTCCAATATGGCAGCCACTAGCCACAGGTAGCCATTTACATTTAAATCAATTAAAATTAAATTAAATTTAAAAATCAGTTCCTCATCTCCACTGGCTTCCATATTGAACAGTGTAGGAAGATAACTTTTCAACCACTGCAGGGAGTCCTACCGGACAGTTCTTGTCTGAGGCTATGACACCTATGTTTTCTCTGACAGCAAAATTTCTGTTCCTAGGATTCTGGGACAGGAATGGGGTTTAGGCTAAATGAATTTTTGATTAACTGGAAGGTACAAAAATAATGTTTTAGATTTTGATCTTCAGTGATGATAACCTTTCTAAAAAGTATCATATTTCAGTTCCCTCTTTTAATAAGTACAGTAAAAACACCAGATTAGGAACCAGAAGATATGGGTTATAGTCTTTGAAACTTAAAATACAAAGCAGTGGGACTATTTCTGTCAAATGAAATCATACCTCAACTGCTGATATACAAAGGAGCTAGGAGCATGCAACTGACAGGTAATTCTCCTTAGAAACAGCTGCTGTGCTAAAGAAGGTGGACAAGAGCTGGGCTTCTCTTCATCCACTGGGGGTCTCTGCAGAATCCTAGGTCCTCTCTTCTGAGGAAGAGAATTGGAAAACCAGTGGCTGGGAAATCGTTTGAGGTTTCTTCTAGCACAACAGATTTGGCAGGATTATTTGAGGGCTGGACAACTCCAATTCAGAATGAACATTGTCTGCATTTACTGAGAACCTACCATTATTTTTATTTTTATTAAGGTATCATGGGTATACAATCTTATGAAGGTTTCACATGAGCAACACGTGGTTACTACATTCACTCATATTATCAAGTCCTTACCCCCCCATTGCAGTTACTGTCTATCAGCATAGTAAGATACTACAGAATCACTACTTGTCTTCTCTGGAGCACCTACCATTATTAATCTCATTTTCAGATGTAAAGATTTAGGCTTAGAGACACTCGGTAGCCTTCCCAAACAGTCACATAGTTACAAGTTGGCAGAGGTGGGGCTGAACTCCTGCTGCAGCTCCCTAGCCTGCACGCTAAACCTTGAGCAGACCACTGGTTTTCCTCTTAGTTGCTTCAGAC